GTGTCCGAGCTCCCTTTCAGGAGCTGGTGCAGCCCATGAGTTGAGCAGGAAGCACAGCCAATGTGTCACTCAAATCTGCTCCAGGAAGGAGGGAGCTGGCATTGCCACTTCTCCCAGTGGCTCTGATGCAGAGGAAGCAGCAGACACACAGGGAAGAAGATCAAAGTCTTTCCTCTGTCCCCAGGTGCCTGTTGTCTGTTTGGCCCTGTACCCTGGGGTGCCCCTGTTTTGCAGAACAGAAAGCCCATAGGAGCCTTTTGGCTGTCTCTCATCCCATGAGCCATCATAACTCCCACAACTTGGCACCACGCTCCAGCACTTGGATCTTGGCTTTTCCATCCCTTCCAGATTGAAGAGCCATGTTAGTCCCTGCATTTCTTGCCATAAAAGTGCTCAAGTAATCTCCCAGTCTTGTTTTTGATAAGATGCTCGCAAAGCACTGGTCATCCTTTCCAGCCTGTTTGTCTCTGATGCTTTTGTTTTCCTTCTGTTTTTCAAATGCTTTTCCAAAATGCGTGTAGGACAGCTGGTCACACGAGGGTCAGCCACGCAAAACTGAAGTGAAACTGTATTTTCCTTCCCATATTTTGGTCTCATGTTTCAGCATTAATCCTGCAGGAGGGACACTGTCACATCATGGGGTATTGCACAAAGAAATGTGGAGCCATTTGAGTCTGAGTCAAGGCACTCACAAGCCCCTCAGAAGCTCAGATGAAACAGGGACAAACATACCAGGGCCAAGACGCAAGGAAGAGGAACGCCCCGATGGAAGCTGGGCTACAGTGAGGTGTCAGGACAAGCATGGAGGCTCCTGCACTGAACTGCAGGCAGGAGCCAAGCCAAGGAGGGAGCAGAAACCTCCAGGTGGAGAGTGATGACTCTTGATTTTTATGGGCCTGAGCCACGCTAAAGTCATGCACACAGAGACCACACATCTTCCTGGGGTGAGGGATCAGAGGTCAGCAGTCACCAGTTCTACACCCCCCTCCCTCTTTGGTCATTTCCCAGCTCTAGCTATCTCTGTTCCTTACAAAAACTTTCAGCTGAGCTGGGCAGCCTGAGCACATGAGCACAGCATCATCTGCAGCACAGGCACCACTCTGCAAACAGTATAGGTGCTAGGCCAAAAAGAGGTGGCATCAGCCACTCTCACGCCAAGCCTGTAGCCAACACAAGGTAAAGGGTGCTCAGCTGCTCTCAGGTACCATGTTGCACCTGAAGAACCCTCATTTTAAGGTATTTCACTGCCAGTGCAAAACCATCCAGGTTTGCAGAATGACAGCTCTCTTCTCTTTTTCCTGGCAGGTATAGAAATGAGGAACTGCTCAGCATACGGTCAAGCATACTGTGAGAGGGAAGAGAAAACGTCTGCATCTAGTATCTGTCAGGGCAGGTCAGGGCTGGCACAGTGGGGCACACAGCAGCTCCTCCGGCAGCAGGAAAGGAGACACAACGGGGAGAAACAAATCAGTTTGTCCCTTTCTGGTTTACATTCCCGTGTTAGTCCCAGGAGCATCCTGAGCATGGGCTCTGCAGCAGTGACAGCAGTGTTCCCCCATGACTGGCATCACCACACGTGCTTATGGATGGCCTGGAGGGGAGACTGCCTCTGCACTGGAACCTGGCTCAAACCTCCTGGCACGTCCACCAGTACGTCTTGCCTGAGAGCTGCTTTACGGGAGGTTTGTCTCTAGACAGATGCATTGAATTTCAGGTCTAGCTAATCCCACCTTTATCAGCGCAGGAATGTAATGCTTTTCACAAAGCATAATCCTCTTTGCAGTCATGTGTTCTGACAAACTACAAACTTTCTGCTCCCGTCCTTTCCTGGGAGAGGATTTGAGGCAATAATCCAGGCCTACCAATTTATTTTCTCTAATAAGCAAGGGGCAAATCAGCACAGCATTGCAGAACACATACACACACAAATCTTGAAGTGGTCCCTGCTTCTGTCATGCCTTTGAGGGATGCCCTGAGCTGAAGAACCAAGGGTGGAAACAGTGACCTCTGTCATGCTGGAGCCCAGACAGACAGTGCAGAGGCAGCTGCAACCACAGCCAAGGCCCACTGACCATGGGCAATGCCTGAGGCAGCAAACATCAGTGGGTGTTTGAGGAGGGCAAGATGTTCTGCAGGGTCCATTTAGTTGGGGTCTGTATGAGATTAGCCATCAGCTGAAAGGAAGCAGAGCAAATATCACAGCCCTGGTAGTCCTTCAGAAGCTATGGCAGAGTGAGCCCCTGGCAGGGGGAGCTCCTTTCACAGCCCATTCAGTGCCTTGCCGAGCTGCAAGCCTCAACCCAGCATCACACTCACAGCTGGAGATAGACTTACTTGGGAAGGGCATGGGTGGTTTACGGTCTCCTAAATACTCCCCATTATATTGTTTACCACTTTCACTGTAAAAACACTGGGCTGCCTCTTTACCCAGTGCTCCACCTTATGAAGCCTACTGAAAGATGCGTGCTAGAACTTCATTCTGTCAAATGACCAATGCATTCTCCTTCTCCTTCAAGTTCATCAGAAACAAACCAGGGGACCTCGCCACTCTGCACCTGCTGGCTATTAAAAACCAAGCTCTGCACACAGGGGAGCTCCCACCATGGGATGGGATCACTCTGCCTGCCCCAGGGAGAGGGCTGGGGTGAGGACCAGATGGGCTGTCTGTGCTTCTGTGCACTACTGCAGCTGGATCTTGTCAAGGCTTGACACTCTTCTCATTGTGCAAACAAAACAGAAATCTCAAGTAGCACAACATGAAGGAAAGGCACCCCGGGTGCCTCTGCTTGCTCAGGTCTAAAAAGGCAGCCCTGAGCATGCATGACTTGCTGGGACCTGAAGATGCTGAACACTTCCCAAGCCAGAGCGAGCCCTGAGTTTGGTTTGCATCACCTAGGGAGAAAAATATTCTTCCTGCTTTCTTCCCTCAAAACAGAGTGGGAATGCCCAACCAGTGACCTGCTCCTTCTTTTGGCCGCAGCATACTGTGGTGAGAGCACACCCGTCCACAGTACGAACACCTAAGAGGTGTTAGAACACCTAAAGAGGTGTTTTACCGCCTTCCCTATGCGAGCGGCTGCTGCTGTCCGTGCTGCTTCCAGCCCTAACCGTGGGGCACCCAGAAACAATTCTGACGGAACGCGGCTTCCTGACATCCCTTCCCCGCAGCGGGGGCGGCTCAGGCAGCGCAGCAGCAGCAGCAGCAGCAGCAGCAGCAGCAGCATCGGGCCACCGCGCCAAGGACGCTCCCCTCCGCCGCTGCGGGCCCTAAGCTCAGCAGCGCGGCCCCTGCCCCAGCGCCCGGCCCACGGGCACAGGCTGAGAGCACCCGCAAGGACCCCGAGGCGGAGCGAGCCGTGCCGCGCGCGCCTGTGGCTGCGGCGGGCGCGCTGATTGGCCCCGCGGCGCGCAGGGGCGGGGCGCGCAGAGCAGGGGTAGGGCCGCGTCGCGGCGGCGGCGGCTGCAGTAGTTGGGTCTCGGCGCGGCGAGCGAGAGGGGTGGCGGTGAGCAGCGGGGCGCGCTGAGCGGGCGGGAGGGGGGCAGGCAGGTGGGGGGGAAGGGGTGGCGGCAGCCCTGAGGCGAGGCGGGGAGAGGTAGCGCGGCGCGGCCAGAGGGCGGCGGGGTGCGGGGGCTGCAGGGCCCTCGCTGGCGGTGCAGTGGCAGCAGCGGTAGCAGCAGCAGCGGCAGCAGCAGACCCGTTGGCGGCTGGGCGTGCGCGCAAGCACGTGGCCGCGGCGCAGGCTGCCATAACCGCCTGACCTTCAAGGCGGGCAGGGCCCTGCTGCGGAGGGGAGACGTGCCCTCGGCGGGCGGCGTATCGCCCGGCCCGCTTATCGGGCAGCCCGCAGCCGGGCCCTGCCCGCGATACCGGGGCCGCCCAGCCCCTCGCGGGAGCCTGCTCCTATGGCTTTATTTATTGTTTTTTCCTCGTGCTCTCCTTGTTTTTGAGGGATTGCGGTTGTTGGCCGCCTCCTGGGCTGCGTGGAGGGAAGAGGGAGCGGCCTTTCCCCGTTAGGTGCCCGGTGTGCTGGCTCTCTGCCTGGCCTGGCTGTGAAGGGGTTTGAGCTGTGAGGGGTTCGGGGGGACCCTGTGCTCCTGGGGGAATAGGGAGCATCCCTGTCAGGTGTGATGGCCCCAGGCCATTGTGCTTCCCTGACTGTTCCCCTCGGTTAGCTCGTCTGTCTTTTATACATGCCCTGTTATTCCCTGCCTGCCAGCTGGGAGCCTGGGCCTCAGATTGTTACTTGGAAAAGCTGCTGGGGATTCAACTCTGTGTACTCTTGGCCTGAGTGAAAGGTGAACGTGAAATGAGAGGATGGCCACTTTTAACCTTTGAACTCCAAATAAAACCTGCTTATATTTCAGAGCTCCCAGGTGTAAAGCTAGTAATCCACATGCACCCAAAGACCAGTTCAAAGTAATTTCTTAGCAGCACTGCTTGAGGGCATACTCAGGCTGCATGCTCACAACCTAAGCACCTGCCTCAGCCCAGGCTGTCTCATCACTGTCTTACAAAGCTTTTTCCAGCATCTTTTCAGGAAGAAATGCTGAAGTAATTCAGTTGCAGCAGATAAGTTTACTGTCTAGAGAAACCCAGATTGAAATGCTTTTCGAAGAGTTGCTCTTGGCTACTCTGGGGTATTGCCCAGAACTCGTACTGCCTTCATAAAGCGGTAAAGAATATAGCCATCTAGAAGGGACTGCAATTGTTAAGTGTTGTGGCCGTGTTGGGTTTTGTCCTGCTTTGAGTTAAAGTTATTGAGCCACTTCTGGCTAATAGTCAGACTCGTCTCCATCCTGTCAGTGAAATGGACTCCAGGAACCTTAGATATGTTGTGTGTGTTGTCACAGCCGAGCAGTGCCTCTTGCCAGCATTCCCTGAGTGGAGGTGCCCCTACCATTAATAAGGCTCTTGGCTGAAATCAGCCATTTGAGACTGTATTCCTCATCTATACGCATACCGTCCTCATCCCCAATCCCGGACTTCATTAGAAGGAGGTGGTTTGTTCATCAGAACTGACACTTGCAGTGGGTGTATGTGAACTTCTACCATTGCGACTTACTTAGAAGCGTGCATGTAAAATCCATGGGCGAGTGTTGCACTGGTGATAGTGACCTTGGATATCTTATGTAATGGCAGAGGAACAGTGTGACTTGACTGCTTGTGTTCTGCACTTCCAGGGCTTTGGTCAAGTTGGTGGGTATTCCTCCAGAAGGCAATGGACCATGCCAGAGCAGCAATCTCTAACTTGGTAAGACACATCTCCCTGTGCCGTTTGTCTCTTGGTGGGCTGCTGGTGCTGCAAGAAGAAAGGTTCAACCACATGTGTGTCAGTACTGGGGAAGATGAGAAATCCAAAGCAGTGTTGGGTGCTACTGTGTGGGTTGTGAGCCAAATGTCACTGTAACTAGCTTGGCCATGATAAGGGAGTGGCTTATGTAGTTCGGTGCTGTTTGGTTATCGGTAACTGCTACAGTGTCTTGGGTCTCTCAGGAAGCTGATAAGGAGGGGGGTGCGAGCCTTGAACAATGTTCCAGGAGGAAGTGCTGCTGAGGAAGCTGACAAATGCCTATCGGGACAAATCAACGTGTGTTGTATTATGTTACTTTGGGGGTGGGAATTCAACCACAAGTCCAGCTTTTGAATGTAATGTGCTTCGAAACAAATGTGCTCAGACAAGCCTGCAGGTCCTAGAGAGCTTGGACTGTGAAATGACCCTAGGCTAGGCCTGCAAATGTGATGGTTTGGTCTCTGCACAAGTGTGAAGGATATGTGGGGTTGAAGCATGTCCTCTGCAAAGGGTGAGGGAAGCTGAGCTGTCAAGCAGCTGAACAGGGGCACTGTAGGACAGGCTGCTGCGTTGTGCTCTCTGAAACGTGAGCAGCCAGCCACTTCATCACTGGTAGCATGCGTCAGGATGGAACTGTAGGTCTGAAATTACATGGTATCGTTTTTACCAGCCAAGCTCATGTATGGTCTCTGCACCTTCAGTCTCTCACTTGCAGTTAGAGAGCAAGCTGAGAACTGTGAAAGAGGTATAGATATTGTAACAGAGCTTGAGTGCTTGCAGCCAGCCACTTCTCCAGTACTGTGGAGAGGGGCTGCAAGACTGTTGCTCCCAAAACTATTCCTCTGGCCTTTTAGCCAGTCTCCTGCCTGTCCCCAACACAGCCACGGCTGCAGGCAAGTTCAGCAGCTCTAATGGGAGCTGAGTGGTTCTGCACAGTGCCTGGCTACGCCTGGAATTGAGTTTAACTGGAATGTAGTTTAACTGTATGTTAATCTGAGCAACTGCCTTGTGCATGGGCTGCTGTTCTTTGAGCAGTTGGACTGTGTGTTGCAGCTGTTCAGAAAAGTGGGCTCCAGGCTGGAAGCTGCTCTGCTCAGGCACTGATAAACACTTGCTGAATGGTGCCAGTTGCTGGTGGATGCAGGCGGTGTGTCCTCAGCTTTCATGTTAGCTGAGGTAGCAGGGTTCCAATGGGTCATCACTCTTCAGCATAGCAGCTTCATAATACTCATCCGTAGTGTAATTTAAGAGTAGCCTGGGCTGTTAAACACAAGACCATCTAGATGTTGCATGAGAGTATTTACATGAAAGCGGATGTGGCTCTAAGGCACAGCCATGCAGGAGTTGCCTTCCCTTTCCTCTGTGCTGATCAAAGTTCCCTTCTGTGCAAACTGCACATGTTAAGTCAGATCAGTGTGCTCCTGATTAAGACCAGGAGTTTCTGCTTGAGTCAGCCTTTGCCATGGGGCAATGTGGGACATGCTGATGCCATTGACTGTGTCGTATCTGAAGTAGACTTAAAGCTAGACTTTGACCAGTGTCGCTTTGAACTTGTGTAGGGCAAACAGATGCTAAATAGGCCCTGGAGACCCTGTGTTGGGTCTAACTGTTCAAAGGAGCCAGCCTGATTTACTGAAAGCCAAATGCTCAGGCTGTGCTGCAGCAGTTTCAGGTGAACAGGCTGTATTTGATCTGGAGCATGGGTGCAGCTGGCTGCAGGGACTGTATGTAGGCTCATGTAACACTCTTCCATTGCATGACTGTCTTTCGGTACAGTTTGGTGGCGAGCCAATGTCATACACACGCTTCAGCATTGCCCGGCAAATGGATGGAGACAACAGCCATGTGGAGATGAAGCTGTCCGCTGATGATGAGGAAGGAGGGGAAATTGGGAGACAAGAGCATATGCATGCCAGCATGCCTCCACGGAGGAGTGTCAAGAACCTCTGCTTCCTAGTCATTGCAGCTCTCCTCCTCCTTTTGATTGGTAAGGAACGGTGGGAGACAACTGCATGAAGTGGATTCTGGTATTGAGCATATCTGAGGCCACTAACATCTGGCTCTGTATTGGTTCATGAGATAATTAAAGAGCCTGAATCCAGGCTGCAGCCTCTTGTCACTAAGTATGTCTGTCTCAGACTTATGGTACAGAATTGGCACAAAGAAGTGTGAAATTTGGCAGTGGAACTTAGCTGAAGGGTAAACTGGTCCATGTGGCAAGTGTACTGGTTTTCCCTTGATTAACTCTTCAACACTTTTCTAGTGATATGGCTCAACATGCCAGTAAAGCCTCTGGTGCTTGTCTCAGAGTTTTAACTCTGCCTCTGGACTAAAGTAAGGATTATTCTTCCAAAGTGGTGCTGGATGGACTGTGCCAAGCACAAGATCAGATTTACAGTGTACCTTAAAACATGCCAGCTCAGGTGCAATGTCAGGCTGCATAGTCATGTCTGTCCTTAGCTATTCTAGCTTGTCAAAAATGGTGTGAGATCAGAGATGCGTCTCAACCCTGAAGCTGCTTTGAATGCGCTTGTGTGGTGTGGGGCTGGTTTAGTCATCTGCAGCACAAAAAAAAATACCTGTTCTGTCTGTAGGGTTTCTGATTGGCTACTTGAGTTACCGTGGACGAATGCAGAAGGCTAGCAGGTGTCTGGATGGAAGTGGCAAGTGTGAGATGACTCCTACTGCATCTTACTTAACGGAGGATGAAACTGAGGAGGAAGAGGTTCCTGGACCGCCTGTCTTATACTGGCCTGACCTCAGAACCCTGTTGTCAGAAAAGCTGTCAGCCAAACGTCTTGAGGACAGCTTGAGGTAACAGGTTGAGAAAGCTTAACTACAGCTGTGAGGGGCACATCCTGTGAGCAGAACTCCTCAAGCTCTTTTGGAGAGCAAGGGCCTTAAAGATGGTGTGGAGTAGTATTGTGGTTAAGCATGGGCTTAAATGGCCCATCCAACTTGGGTTTGCAGGCTGCAGCACTGCAGTGCAACCCAGTGCATAAGCTATTATCTGTTACCTACAGGCAAAGAGCAAACAAGGACTCTTTTGAAGCTGGACAGATTGAAGATGAGAAAGCTGCCAGCTACATTCATGACCAGTTTAACAGCTTCCACTTGGATGAAGTCTGGAATGATGAGCACTACATTAAGCTGCAGGTCAAAGGCAGGTACGTTAATGAAGAGGTGCAGATCTCTTCCTTGCAGCATAGATATCTGTAGTCTTGAGCAAACACGTGATTTCTGCTGAAAGCAGTACTAAAATTGTGAGCCAGTTACTGCTCTCCAAAGAAGGCCTCAAGCTAGTCAAGCAATAGCTGCTTCTGTCTCTTCTCAAGATTCCAAAATCCAGAGGGTCTAGTAGCAGCCCTGTGGATTTTTCCTGGGGCAGCATGCTTAGGAAGTAGAGAGAAAACAAACTTGAGTAAAAACTAGGCTGAAGGGCATATAGCTTGTGAGTAAAACCATGGGTGTGGGCACTCTTGTCACCCAGATGGGTGTTGTGGACCTGGCAGTGGCTTCTATTGTAGCTCAGGAGGGTATCAACAGGCACTGTTGTTAGCTGACAGCTCACACCTTTGTGTTACTTGCCCTCTTTGTGCTGGGGGGGAAATGAATTTGCTTAGCTTCCCTTAGGAGGTGACTAAGAGACCTGGAAGCACAGATTCTTTCTGCCTTGTCCTAGAAATTAGCCTTCATTAATGTCTCTGAACAACCCCAGATATTCTTGCATGGAAGTACTGGGATGAGTCTGCCTGCTTCAGGCTCTACATTGACCTGATCATAATTGCCGATATATGGGAGCTAGTTAAATATGGAGTTTATGTATGAAATAATATAACACTATCTCTTAACAGTAGCAACAACAGAGTGTCTACTGTGCAAAATGGTGAAGAGGAGGAACTGGAGAGTCCCAATGCATATGTAGCATACAGCAAGACTGGCTCAGTTGTTGTAAGTAACTTCAGGAATATCTGGGAAATGTGCTTGCGTGCTTACCAGGTGGCAGTGTTCAAGATATGTACCTTTGAGATACGTAGTGTATGAGCCATCCCCAGTTAGAGCCCTGGGGTGGTGGTGGGGAGAATTCAGTGAGGAGCAGGCCCATGTTTTCAGGAAGAAGTGAAAGTAACTGTTAACACTTCTGTGCTGGGATCCAGACAGGAAACGTCAAAAGTGTTGTTCAAGCAGGCATGTTGCATGTGATCAGTTTACGTGATTGAGCTTGAACACCCCACTGTTACCAGGAGTCACTGGTACTGTGACTCTGTAGGCTGTATCAAGTACCTGACTGACATAAGACTGTTGCATTTATAACCAGTGTTTCTGTCCCAGGGCAAACCAGTTCATGTGAACTATGGACTGAAAGCTGATTTTCAGAAGTTAGAGAAGCTGGGTGTTCCACTGAATGGAGCTATACTCATTTTCAGAGCTGGAAAGATAACCCTTGCTGAGAAGGTAAGCAGTCCGTGCCCCAAAGCCTGTCCGGATGTGGCAGCAGGAAGCCTCCTCTTTGAGGTTTAGAGGTGTGTCTTTGTCCAGGTCTCTAGAACTTTTGTTTGTAGGCTTGTCCCTGCAGATCTGGTCTTGTGTGTATGCACTAAGCTTCCACATGCAGATCTGGACACCAAGACTGAACAGAGCAGGTTATCATTCATCATGGCATTCTTGTTCTCTGGCAGTCTTGCTGGGACAGCCAAGCATCTAGAGTGATGGACGCAGCCTGTGGGCTATATGGTGTTGCTAGATGCAGCAACAGAGCTGCTAGAAGCAGAACAGCCTTGCCTTCAGAACACCTTGTGTTGCTGCAGCCAGATACTTCTAAATTTTAGCTGCAGTGTCTCACTTGGTCTGGGTGGAGGTGGTGGCACTGCATGCCCAGTCAGCTGCTTTGCATGTTGCTGTAATGCTCCCTGTGTAGTGAGTAGAACCAAATAGGCAAGCAGCCTAAAGGATCCAACTCGTGTACTCAAACTTGTTATAGATGTCTGACCCAGAGCTATCCCTGAGATGGGTGCTTCTGGGGAGGCTGGGGCACAGGACTCTGCAAGCAGGCACAGTCTGACTGCATTTAAAACACAGGCAGAGCTGAAAAGCGCTTCTGCAAGGGGTGCTTACTGGTTCTTCAGTCCCTTCCCACTTTTTAAGCTGGTATCTAACCTTGCATGAGTGTACAGGTGGCATATCAGAGGCAGGCCTTAATTCCCCTTGCTTGCAGTGCAGATGTGCAGTAAATGTTCCTGTTTGGTTCAGGTTGCAAATGCCCAAGATGCAGGAGCAGCTGGTGTCCTGATGTACCTGGATCCCTATGATTACAAGAACACGGATGCACTTGTCCCGTTTGGACATGTGAGTATGCAGCTGGCTCCCCTGTTCGTGTTCTTGTTAACCTTTTTTTGCTGTGGACTGCAGCAGTCCTTCTGCAGGCTTCTGGCTCAGCAGTGCTTCATACCCTTGTGTAGATGAAAGTTGTTGGGCTTCTCTGAGACTTGAGGGCTCCTCTTGCTTTTTACAGGCCCACCTTGGAACTGGAGACCCTTTCACCCCAGGCTTCCCTTCTTTCAACCACACCCAGTTCCCACCAGTGGAATCTTCTGGACTGCCTCGCATCCCTGTTCAGACCATCTCTAGCCAAGCAGCAGGCAGACTATACAGGTAATAGTTTCTCCTGGCTTGCAGGCTAGGCTGCTGTGGCCCTCGTGGAGAACTGAAGATGATGTTGAGGTGCTGTGAGCCCAGGGAGCTCTCTGCTGATCTCTACTATATATCGCAGTGAGCGTTTACTGGAGAGATGTTGCTTGTGTCCATGTCTTATGTCTTAAAGACTGAATTAGTGTTGGGATTTCGCTTGGCTTCTGCCTCCGACCTCTCCCTGCATAGTCGGTGGTACAGGACTGCAGGCTATCTCCTGAGCAGGTCCTAAACGAAGCTGCACCTGCAGCTGTAGGCTTGCTTTCTTCACAGGATAACTAGGTGAGGTCAGAGCTGTATAATGAGTTCAAAGAACCTCTCTCTTTCCCTTCAGCAAAATGGATGGAGACAAATGCCTTCTGGAGTGGAAATCTGGGGTCATGGGATGCAAGATGATGAGCAGCGCAAACAACATGACAGTAAAATTGAGTGTGAACAATGTTATGGTGGACCAGAAGATTCTGAACATCTTTGGTGCTATCAAGGGATTTGAAGAACCAGGTAACAGCAACTGCCTTGTGGCTTAGTCTTGAAGGGAACCCTTCCTCTTCTGTGGTCACCAGATGACAGCTGTTCCTACAAAGACAACAACTTCCTTAGCAGAACCAAGACCCTTCCCAAAGGGTCCAGGGAAAGGCTTGAACCACACTGCCAGAGAAAGGCTAAATGATAGCAAGCAGTGTGCCAGATTTAGGAGTCAAACTTCATACTGTGTTTCTAGCAAAGGCTCAGAGTTGCTCCTTTGATAAGTGGTGTTTACAACCTGAAGCTTGCAGCTCAGATCTTGTTTCCTTTATAGATCGATATGTTGTGATCGGAGCCCAGAGAGACTCCTGGGGCCCAGGAGCAGCCAAGGCTGGTGTTGGAACTGCCATATTGTTGGAACTTGCCCGTGTGATCTCAGACATAGTGAAAAATGGTAAATACTTGTGCAAAAGCATGTGAGTGGGAGTTGTGATGCAGGTTTAATTCTCTATGTGTTAATACTGGGGAGTCCAGCAAAATAATCCTAAGGGAGGGCAACAGGGAATCTGATTAAGCTTCCTGGAAAGCTGTTGCTTTTCCAACATGGACAACTTACCTGCAGTGAGCACTTGCATCCACTGTGTGCTTGCATCCGGTATTCCTTGAATGCAGAAATCTCCGTGGATAACACACTGTGCACACCTCAGACTTGAGCTGTTTGTTGGGCAGCCAGGCCTGAAGGTAGGAAAATATTGATGTGGCTGACCAACTAGAGCAGTGGAGGCTGCATGGTGGCACTTAGTGTGAGTGCTGCTGTCTCCAGGGTTAATTTTGGGCTCAGGCAGCTAAACAAAAAAGGAGGGAAATGCAGACAGCATGGTTTTCTTACACAGCTCTGCAGCATGAGAGTCAGGGTCAAGTGTCCATGCATCCACTGGTGTGCATGCTTGCAGCAGCCAGAACACTTCAGCTCTAAGGAGCAGGAGGTTCATCACCCCATACCCTCAGTGCTGGTCTACATCTCTATGGGGGAAGGGCAGACATCTCAGTCTCCCTCTCTTTGCAGGTGGCTACAAACCAAGGCGCAGCATCATCTTTGCTAGCTGGAGCGCAGGAGAGTACGGAGCTGTGGGTGCTACTGAATGGCTGGAGGTACTGTTTCTTTGGTGGACTTCTGCTTGGTGACTGCACAGTTGTGATTTCCTGGTGTTGTACTGCTACTGCTCACCTTAAAATACTTGTTTTGTTCTAGGGGTACTCTGCAACGCTGCATGCCAAAGCCTTCACTTACATTAACTTGGATGCTGCAGTTCTAGGTAACCTCCTACTCTTAAGTTCCTTGAAACTGAGTGGGACCAGAATAACTTGACTGATATCCCTTAACCTCCAGGAATGGGGGCTGTGCCAAAGGTATGCAGAGCCTGAGCCAAAAGGAGGCAGCTCTGCTTAGGTCCCAGTAGACTGTACTGTGTCTGCTGAAGGTCCTTTGGCAGCAACCTGTAGATCAGTTTGTTCCTGGGTCACAGGGCTGAGCAGCTCTAGCAGCAGTGGCTAATTGTGCCAGCATGTCAAATGTCCTTGTCTTTTCGCAGGCTTCGATCACATGAAGATATCTGCTAGCCCACTGCTGTACACATTGCTGGAAAGAACTATGAAGGGGGTGAGTTGAAGGGTCTTGGGCTAATCAAGGTGGCTGGTTTTAAGGAAAGCAGCCACAACTGTGCTGGATCATTTTTCCCAGCTGGCACCTTCTGAGGAGAAAGCCCTGAATAGGAGAAAGGGCTGAGGTACTCCAGAGGGCCCTGTCTGAAGTCAGCTGGGCTCTGGGAATTGCAGTTCACACATGCAGAATCTAAAACTGGCAAATGCCACAGTTCAGTGGGAGGTGAATGCTTGTTCTGCATGAACTGTGTGGAGAAAAGAGATGCCTGACTGGTGTCTGTACAGTAATGTAAGCTCCAGGATGGACCTGGAAGCCCCAGCAGAGGTCAGAACAAGTGCAGTAACTATTAATCTCTGTGCAGGTGAAGGACCCAATAAAGGATTCGGGAAATCTGTATGACAGAGTTGGCTCTGACTGGGTAAAAACAGTGTAAGTATTGTCATCCTGTTCTTTGGAAAAGCAAATCTCCATAAAGGAGCAAACTAAATCACCTCTGCTCTTTGTACTGGACTGTCATACTGCTGTCTGGGTCAGGCTGTACCTGCTGCAGTGGGATCAGGCAAGCGTGAGCAGTATGCTTGTTACACTTCGTGCTGCCCCAGTGTGCCTGTAGGCAGCCCAGACACCTTTTTGTAGAGCAAGAACAGCCTTGTCCAAAGACAGGTGGCCAGAAATGGACGAGAGCCCTCAGTGCTTGGCTAGATTCCTTGCCAAAACCAACCTTGTCTAGACAGGGTAGTCCAGTTGGCTTACAGCTTCAACTCTAGAGCTTGCAGCTTTTCTCCTGGTGTGTCCAAACCAGTTGGTGACTACTCAGTACTTGTCTTTTGCAGTGTTCCCCTTGGTCTGGATAATGCAGCATTCCCTTTCCTGGCCTTCTCAGGAATCCCTGTGGTTTCCTTTGGTTTCTGCAATGTAAGTGCTGTCCACCTGCCTGATGTACTCATTCTGTGCAAATTGTTGTAAAGATACCTGCTCTTCAGGGTGGCAGAACGCAAGGTGCTGTCCTGACTCCTTGTCCATGCAAGAGCCTTTCTAGCGGAGGAGATGTAGGTAGCCTCTGGACCTACATCCGACACAGCCTCTTGGTTGTGCCAGTACTTGCTGCAAAGGCAGCATCTGGGGCATGGCTGGCCTAGAGTCTCTGTTCCAGAGTCCTGAACACACACATTTTGTTGGGAGAGGGCGCACTTGCTCTTCTGAAGGCTCAGATATCGATGTTTCAGAATGTAAAAGTACTAAATAATGTCATGCTGTTGCTGCTTCAGTGAAAGACTGTACTGTGGTCTCCTGGTCAGCAAGTGAAGTGTGTTGGGGAAGCAGTACTGTTGGCTAAAGCAAGTACTAACTCTGACCGTTCAGGTGGGGTGCTGCAGCTTGGGGCTGGAAAAAGTGGCATCAGCCAGGCAGCCTGCTCTGTTACTGCAAGGTGTGTAGCTGGGAACCTTTCTGATAACAGCTTTCTCTGCTTACGAATGATTTTGTTAGTGTCAGACTTATTCCACAAAAAAGTTGAGTTATCCTGCCAAGCAAGGTATGAACTGCCAGCACGTACAAGACTGGGTGATGGGGTTTGCCTGCCTGCACTTCTGCATTTAGCTGTGGTAGTTGAAAAGCTCTATATATCTTTGTGTCCAATCCAACAGAGTAATAGAGCATCCTGCTGATTGCTAGAAACTGTGAGGGATGAGATGCAGGAGCTCAATTCCCTTCCCCTGTGCTTTTGAAGTTTTGCCCAAGTCTCTCTACTTGGGAGCACAAGGAGATGGGATGTGGTAGAAGTAGCAAGCAGGCTGCAGTGGGAGGTAAGAAATGCTAGCTGGAGAAGCAGTCTTGCCTAACTTCAATGCCTGCCTTCTTGCAGAAAGATAAGGAATATTCCTTTTTGGGAACTACTGAGGACACTGTGGAGAACCTGAAGATGACTGACAAGTTGTATGATCTTATGCGTGCTGCTGCAGAAGTTGCTGGACAAATAGCTCTCAGGTTGACCCATGATCATGAGCTTTACCTGGACTTCGAGCGATACAGTGAAGAATTGTTAGCGTTCCAGGAGAAATTTTTTCCTTACGATCGGGATGTGAAGGTAAGAAAGGCTCTGAATGCATTGAATCCCTGCTATGGGGCCATGTGCTCATAAGGCTCTGCTGCTCTTGGATACAGCAGGGTGGACACCTTCCTCCTTCGGGCACCAGCGTGTACCAAGATGTGACAGGAACTGATGTTCTTTATAGAGCAGTGCAGGCAGAGTCGCTGTGTCAGACAGATTTAGCTAATCTGGCTGTGGTGAGCTCTTGACGAAACGGACATGGATGGTTTCTTGTCTGGTTACCGTTTGCAGTACAGTGGAGCTCTGCATCTCATTTGCACATCTGCTGAGAGCTCACAAGAAGCTGTGGGTGGGGAGAGACGTCACTGGGCTCAGTGACCTCAGAAGAGCCTGCCAGGAACTTGCTCTGCTACTTGGTTAAACTGGGGAGGGGTGGGGGGTGGGAGGGATGAGGACGGGACAACAACAAACCCAACACTTTCTCTTGGTGAGAAAGCAGCAAAAGAAGAAAATCAGGTTTGCTAACAGTTCCTCCCTCACAGGCTCTGGGGCTGACCTTGAACTGGCTGTTTTTTGCCCGTGGTGACTTCCAGCGAGCTACAGATACACTGAGACGAGACATTGCGAACAGTGACAGGGAAAACAAGATCGTCCGCAGGGCCCTGAATGACAGGATCATGAAGGTGGGTGCAACTGGTTTTCCTTTTTTCATGAAGGAAAGAAAGGTTGGGATGGGCCTCTTCCTCAGATGTGCCACGGGCAACGTGCAGACTGGTATCTCTTTCCTTGCTTAGCTTCAGCATGACTGACTTCCTCACTGGCTATTGAGAGAGGGTCTGGCACAGCACAGAGGTGCAGTGAGAAAGGGCTGGGTGAGGATCAGAGGTCAGGAGCTCTGTGGCATATCAGGAAAGAAAACTTGGGAGGTGAGGGTATAACCCTAAATCTGCACCTCTACTTCAGGTGGAATACGACTTCCTCTCCCCTTACCTCTCGCCAAAAGATGCTCCCTTTCGCCACATCTTCTTCGGCAGAGGCTCCCACACCCTGCAGAGTCTGCTGGAGAACCTGCAGCTGCTGAGAACCAGCAGGGACAGCGTGGATGTGAACATGCTGAAAGAGCAGCTGGCCCTGGCGACCTGGACCATTAAAGGAGCTGCCAATGCCTTAGTGGGTGATATCTGGGATACAGACAACGAATTCTAGACATGGCAAACACCTGGGTAACGTACAGGATTAGGGAAACCCGCTCCCTAACATGGCATTATTTTTCCATAGATTCTTTGGCAACAAATATTTTTTGACCAAAGTGGGGCATAAAATTTAAATCTCAACTTGACAAATTCACAGGAGGCAGTTTTAAAGCAGGTACTAGGATTATCATGAAATCTGCTCTGACCAGGCTCCCATCTGACAAACCCGTCATGTACAGCTGCTTGTGGGGCTTTGCTTTCCAGTGTACTTGAGAACCAACATCTCAGGTGACTCCTAAACCAGTACCTTGAGTGGGGAGGTACCTCATCTATTTAGGGTTTCAATTGTTGGCCTCCTAAACCTAGTGATAAAATGGGGAATGGATTCCTCTTAACTCTTGTGATGAGGATCCTTTTTCCGGAAGGGAGCTGCAGAGATCAACCTGTAGCTCAAAAATAAACCAACCTAGTAATAGCCCACAAGTGCTGACTTATCAGCAAGCTCTGAAGTGCCCAGCCTGCCTTTACTCAACGGGAGAGTCCCAACATCTTACAGACTTGTTTTTGCCGAGGCAGGTCTCGATACCCAGGGAAAATGACCCAAAGATTATCTAATGCCCCTTTTAAATCCTTAGCTGGCACCTCAGCGACTCCTGCGGCATTGAGGAATGGCTCTAGACTGGCACTTCAGACCTTGCTGCTGTGGGGCCTTTTGTGAAATCGAGTCTCTTGCTGGCCAAACCCTGTCTGACTGATGCCATTTTGCAGGATGGCTCTTGTTTGGCACTGAGATATTTATTTGTTTATTTATTTATCAGTGACAGCGTTCACTATAAATGGTGTGGTTTTTTTATAGAAGATAATTATCGGAAGCAGTGCCTTCCATAATTATGACAGTTATACTGTCGTTTTTGAATAAAGCAGCATCTGCTATTACAATCAAACATGATACTGGAACTTTGCATTTAAAATAACCTTAAACAGGTCCCTCAAAAACCAAAAAGTTTTGGAAAACTAGCAGTTAAGCTTTCTGTGGCAAAAACACCCCTCTGGAAGAAACCCAAATGTGCAAACCTGGTAGCAAGTCTCCAGGTTGTGCTCTAAAGTGATCTTGAAATGCTGAAAATTGGAAATACTAGAAATCTGGCTGCCCTGTGGTGTCTGTGCCTCTCTGCGGGTTTCGGACCCCTCTTTGCACCCCTTTCTGGATGCAGCGTGCTCTCACAGGGAGCACAGCTTTCCCCTTGGCCTCAGTGGCGGAGCTTGCTGTGTAGCCCTTGCTCCACCTGTGGCAACACACAAACTACTTGTACTTCAGATTAGGTATTGGCCCAATATTTAAATGGCAGCTTCCTGCAAACTTCCAGTACCTTATGTATCATGAAACCTAACTGACATTATCGGGGGCAGTGTCTTCCATAATGTGTAAAGAACAAGGTAGTTTTTGCCTACCACAGTGTTATATCGGAGGCAGTGACCTCCATATGTTGCACTATGGGTGTACGTAATTATCGGGGACAGTGTTTCCCATAATTGTTCTATGCTTATCATGCAATGTCATCTGCGAAGCTTGATGGTTAGTATCTAACATGGATCAGTTTCCTGCAGTCCTATTTTTTCACTCTCCTGTGGTGATGCAAATACAAACTTTGGTCTGTTATGTGCTTCCCTATATTCTACCTTCTCTGTAGGCTGAACTGTTTCAAATAGCTGTGCTGTCTTGAAGTGGCTTCCTGCCTCCTGAATGGGGCTGGTGCTTGAATGTTTTGTGGAAACTAGGCTAGTTAGACTGTGTGCTCTGTGATTTAGTAAACTTCCTTCAGATCTATTACAAGGACTTGGGGAGTTAAAGGTGAATGTAGGGCCTGGGGCTAATGCTGTCTGGAGGGCTCTGGTCACTGTTCTAGACAGGCTGGGGGGATGCTGCTGTGTGTGCAGGGGAAGTTGCTTGCTCCCCACGTCCTGCTAGAAACTGCAGTCTTGTCTCCTGGGTGTTTGTGGAGTTGCACCTCTCTCACGGTGCCCCTCTGCTGCCTGCCCTGAAGCTGAACAGTGCTGCTGTGTGACACCTGCTGAACTCTGCTGCCTGTTCCAGAAAGCAGCTGAAATGTTGCTGCCAGCGCTGTGCTCTGCAAACGTTCTGGCATTTAAACCTAAACCAAGTGAGTGGCCTGAGCCCCAGCAGTAGTCCTTGAGGGAAAGAACAGTGTTCAGCTGGAACAGAGGCCTGGCCTCTGCAAGGAACAGGCAAAGATGAGCCCCCAGCGTGATCCCTGAGCTCACCAGTGTTGAAGGCAAGTTTTTTCACCTCTCTCTGAGCCCGATGCCCAGGCTTGTGTGACTCCTTGCTGCTCTGAACTACCCTGCTGTCCCTGAGGCATGTGAACAGCCCCGTCTGTGTTGCTGTTTCCTAGTGACACTTCTCCGGATGGCATTTAGGAGCTGCTGTCTGGGAGTCCTCACTGTAGTGTTTGCATGCATATTGATGTCAGAGTTATTCACGTGCTTTGTAGTCGGCAGAGAAAGACAAAGCCTGTCTCCTGGCCGGGCAGCACAATCCTGACTGCTGGGATGTCGGGGTGCCTGGCGCAGCGCTGGCATCGGAGTGGTGTGGGATGTTAAACTGGTTCTGGGTTATCTGCTGTCCGCTTGAATAAAGTTTTAATGCTTCAACACTCAACTCCTCGCGTAATGCTGGGGTGGCAGTGTGTGAGATGGGGGCAGCCGGAGGGACACAGCTCTCCGGCATCAGCCTGTGGTGATGTGCAATAGCAAGTTCAAACCTTAATGTGCTCTGCGGCAGTGCATCCTGCCTTGGGTCGGCAGCTGGCATGAGGAGGAAGAGCAGCCTCTTGGTCACCACACTGATCCTAAAGCACTTGCGGCACTGGGGTAGATGGTGGAAGTATGCAATGTCAGACTTCCCACTGGCATTTGGTTGCTCGTAGAGCCCCGGAGAGCTCTGGCAGGTCTGAAGCTGCTTCCCCAGCCCAAGGGCCTTCTCGTGGGAGACTGCTGGTTCGGGGCTTTGCGTTTTAAATACGCTCACCTTTCCTTCCCTAGTGCTAGTCTCTCCTCCTTAAGAAACACTGCATCCCGTGAAAATGCACCGTTTCGGAGCGGGAGGCTTCTAGTTCCTTAACGGGCTGTCCCTCCTCTTCCAGCAGGGATGATTTACTTCTTGGGAACACGCTGTTTCCCGCAGCTCCTTGCCCAAACCTGGCAGGGCTCTCTCCCTGCAGTGGCGGGGCCTCTGCAGCCGCCGGGCGGGGCCAGCCCCTCCGGGGCAGCGGGGGACAGGGCTGCAGCCGCTTGGGAGCAGGAATCAGGACTGCTCCGTGGCAGTGCGGGGCTGCCCGTGCCCTGCGCCCCATCTCCCACCTCCAGCCCCTGTACCGGAGCGGTCCCGGGTTTGGTGCTGTTCCTGGTGAGTCTGCCCCCCGCGCCCCACTCTTCCCCCGTCCGCCTGCCCGTCCCCCCCCACCCCGCCGCCATCCCCTCCCCGCCGTTACGTAAAGCGGCGACGCGGCGCCTTTAAGCGCAGGGCCGGCCGGGCGCGCACCGCCCCGGCAGCTCTCGCCGGCGGCGGCAGGAGGGGGCGGTGGCGGCGGTGGCGGCAGCGGCGGGGTAGGGGGGAGCGGCGGCGGCGCCGGGGCTCCAGCAGCGCGGCGCGGGGGGGGCGCGGCAGGGGGCGGCCCCGGGGGGGGCCCCCCCGGTGAGCGGGGCCGGGGCTGGGGCCGCGTGCACCATCCGGGGTCAGAGCGCGAGCGGGGTGCCGGAGGGCGGGGGGCTGAGCCCGGGGGTACCGGAGGGCGGCGGAGTGGCCCCAGGGGTGCAGGAGGAGGGGGGCTTCTCCCAGGGCGTGCAGGAGGCGGGGCTGGGGGCGCTGCCCCGCGGCCAGGAGCTGGTGGCGGCGGGCGGCGGGGGGCCGGGGCGCGGAGGGGGGCAGGGCCGGTGGCACTGGGTGCCGCTGGGGGAGCGGACGGGCTTGCAGGAGTGGGGCGAGCGGCCCGCGCTGGTCACCGCAGCCGGTGGCGGCCCTAAGCCGGGCGCGGAGCCGCGGCGGCCCCGGGAGCGGGGGACGGCCCGGGCGCGGCGGCGGGCGCGGGGCGCGGAGGAAGCGGCGGCGGGGGAAGAGGGGGGCAGCCCCGGCGTGCAGCCGCCGCGGAGAGCGCGGTGCGCGGTGCGGGGCGTGCAGGAGCACGGGCCAAAAGCCGGGCAGGAGCAGGGCCTGAGCCGGCGGGCGCAACAGGAGCGGGGCGGGGGGCGGCGGGAGGCGAGCCCCCCAGGCCGGACCCGCTGGTGGGTGCGGCGGGGCCGGCAGGAGGAAGGGGAGGCCAGGGGCGGGGTGCAGGAAGAGGGCGAGTTCTACTCGGGGGAGCAGGAGCACCCCGGCGGCACCCCCGGCACACGGAACCCCGCACACCGCCCGAGCCGCAGGCGGGCCGCCCGGGTGTGAGGCCGGACCCGGCACCCGCTGCTGGCCGCCACGCGGGGGGTCCCCCCGAAGACCGGGCTGCTGCCGGCGTCGATCTGCGCACCACGGCCCGACAGGCGGGCGGCCGCATCCTGCCTGGCATGCGGGCTGCCCGGAGAGCGGCCGTGCCTGTCCTCTGCCTGCGGTGACGCTGTGGACCCGGCGCAGGATGCGGTGGCAGTGGCGGTGAGCACAGAGGTAAGAGCGAGGCGCGACCCCTTGCAGGGGGTGGGTGGTGTCGGTGTGTAGCACCGTGCTGTGCCTCACCGGGCACTGCTGGCACAGTGCCCCGCGGTGCTGCCGGTGCTGCTGTCGTGCCCAGGCGGCAGTATGCCCGACCCCCCTGCTCCTGCCTGCCAGGACAGAGCAGGCAGCGGGGTCTGGAGTGAGTGGGTGCCCGGTGCCCTTGAACCCTCCCAAACCGCAGCGGAAGCTGGGGGAAGGTTTTTTTTTTCCTGGAGAAAAGGCGGCTTTGCTCTGCTCTTCCTCTTCCCGGGCTCGTGGGAGCTCCAGCGCTGAACAGAGGATCCTTGTCCTCCCGAGCCGGCCCTGCGCATTGGGGTGCTGTGCTGCTGCTGCTGGAACCTGAAGCAGCGATGAGGTGCGGGGAGCCTCTACCCACTGGCTTGGTGGGCTACACCGTGTCTGTGTCCGGCCACACTGTAGCAGGTTTTTCTCTACCCACTGGGGACCCTTTGGGTACTTTTGTTCTTGGTTGGTTTTGTTGTTTTTAATAAAGCCTTTAAGTCAAACCTGGTAAGGTGGTGCCGACAGCCCAGCAAGGGTCCCACCTCGCCAGCAGAGCCCCGCTCTGTTCTCCCGGCGCTGCCGGACCCCTTGCCTGCTCTGCAAGTATCCGGGGAGGGGGTTTGCAGGTGACCGGAGGAGCCAAGGCAGGGGCAGTGTCTCTGCCGCAGTGCTGCTGTCATGGGCCAGAGGCTGTGCAGGGCTGGGCTGTCTGGGCAGGGCAGGCTGGGGCAGAGCCCGGCGCTGGTACTACCCCACGCGCTCACCTCCCTGGAGCCACCTCGGTGCATCATTCTGGGGTGCCCCAGTGCTGCTGGGTGCTGGTGTCAGCTCACCGCCCTATAGAGTGGGTCCCCTTCATTAGTTGCTGCATGCTCTGAGTGTCGTGCATCCCCCCCCATTTCTCAGCCCTTTGCTGACCCTACTCAAGGCAGAGCCGTTGAACGAAGTTTGTCAGTGCTGGTCTTTGCTAAAACCAGGACCTGCCTGGGAGGCTGTCTCTGAGCTGGTCTGCTCTCTGACAGGCCCTTCTTTAGGGAGAGGGTCCAGGATGGACCCCGGGTGCTGCAGCCTGATGCTCCCTGCAGGGAGTGGGGCCGAAGTAGGCTCTGCACCCTCGGTCCCGCCGCACTGAGCCCCAGGTGGGGGCTGTGCAGGCTGTGCAACCTGTTACCAGCCCCTGGAGCTACCCGGGCCTCGTTAGCCTGGAATTCGTTAGTGCAGGGCGTGGGCCATGTAGGTATGGCTGGGGGGCTGGGGATGCCTCCCTTCTCCTGCTCTTCTTCCTCTTCCAGCGACTGCCTCCCTGCTGTCCTGGCCTTGACTCAGCATACCCCGGGGCATGAGGGTCCTTCACGGGCAGAGGAGCAGCCACCACAGGACCAGGAACTGGTGCAGGCTTGTAGCAAAGCCTTCTCCCACCTTGCAGACCAGGCCTCGATCCGTGCCTCAGTTTCCCCCTGAGAGGCCCCATCCTGCCACTGAAGCACTGGGGTTTTCACTCCAATCATGCCCACGAGGGATGGTAGCCGGCTGGGGCAAAGGATCGTGGGGGACATGGCCCACTCATGTGGGTTTTGAGGGGCAGCGGGGAGCTCTTCCCCCTGCTGGAACAGGAAGGCTTTACGGAGAAAGTCTTGCTCCAGCTCTCTGCTGAGCAGCCCCAAGGGGGGGCACTGCTCACACTGCAGCCTGGCTATGCTGACATCAGTTAGCGCTAATGATGCTGAATGGTCTCGCCAGGGCACTGCTCTGGTGCTGGGGAAGTGATGGGGTTTAGCTTTTGTCCCCCCAGCTCTGAGGCTCATACCTCCCCTGCTCCCATCATGTAGGGGAGATGCTGCGTGGTGGATGTGGCTTTATGCCCATCTGGCCTAAGACCTGCCAAATTCATTTTATGCCAGCTACAGCCTGCCCCAAGGGCAGGTCGTGCAGTGGCATGGAGATGGGGGTGTTGCTGGCAGCACCCCTGGGACAGAGGTTGGACCCTGGGTTCAGGGCCTGTGCTGGTCCCCCTTTTTCCATGGCAGGACCAGGGGCAAAGACCACCCGTGCCCCTTGGGGCAAACAGGGAGCAGCTCCACAAAGGCTCTTTCAGCTGCCTGGTCAGGGAGATGTTCCCACCTGTTACCCTCCAGGGAGCCCGGAGCATCTGGGTTGGGCATATCAGGGTGCCAGGCTGGGGGGGCCCATTCTGACATCTCACTCCTGCTTTGCCCCAGGGGGACCCTACGGCCAGCGTCACCGCAGCCCTGCCAGCTGCACGGCTGAGCCCTGACACCGTGTCCCCTTGCACACTGCCTGGCTCACTGTGACACTGGGGCTGGTGCTGCTGAGGGACCCCCACAGTGCCACCACTGCGGCCCAGGTGAGATGGGTGCAAACCGACCTTGCACAAGGCAGGGTGGCAGTATCCCACCATGGCAGTGTCCTTTGGGGACAGTGGTGCCAAGGCTCAGTGACTCCAAGCCTGTTGCCCTCTCCCCCTCCCTGCATTGCCTGTGGGCATGGAGCTGACTGTGGGCAGTGTGCTGTGTGTGCTGGGGGTGTTGCTTTGCCTGCTTCTCCCCCAAAACACCGTGCTGTGCTTCTGTCTTGGTTGGAGGGGCTTGGGGATGGGGTGGGCATCAGCTAAAGGGTCAGTGATTCCTGCCCACAGTGAGGAGATGGGAGGTGCAAGATGGGCTCAGCCCGCCCTCGCTCGACCTGCAGAGGAGATTTAGCAGAGGAAAGAGGCTTATGGAGGGGATTGGAATTGCGCTGGGCTCTGTTGGGGTGGGGGGGCTCCCCACCCGGCTGTGTCTCTTCTCCCCACACAGCCACTGCTGCAGGCAGGGGCTCAGTGTGGGAGGTTAGGATCAGGCTATGGGGCTGAGCTCTGGGAGCCCAGAGATGGCAGCGAGGGGGAACCGGGCACCCCGGCCTCCACGGCCACCACCACCACAGGGGTCACCAGGCCTCTGTGCCGGCCCCCCAGGAACTCCTGCTTGCCGGAGCCAGGCGAGCAAGCAGCATCGGGTACCAGCACCGAGGGAGCCAAAGCACCCACCGGTATGGGGTCCCACAGGGGGGACGTGGGGTGGGAACAGACGCTGGGGAGCTGAGTGGCAGCAGGATGTGCCGGGCAGCCCTGGTTTCGGTGGGAGCAGGGTGCATTTGTACCTGTGGGTATGTGCGTGCCCACACGCCTGCGCCAGGCCGCCAGGCTGGGGAGTGTGTCACCACAATTTGGGGCCGCCCCCGGGGCCCCGCCAGGGCTGAGCCAGCCCCGGGTGCTGCTGCGGCCGCCTTGCTGCCGCCACAGCCGGTGAGATCACTTCCAGGTGACAGAGCTGGCAGGAAGGTGACAGAGCTGGCAGGAAGGTGGCAGGCTGTGGTGGCAGCAAGCGGGGTGATGTGCTGGAGGTGAGTGGGGGAGGCCTGTCTCCCTCTGGGAGCTTGCGTGGGGACCCGCCACTTTCCAGGGCCCTCTGTGAGGGTGGTGGGCGCAGAGATGCTGCGGCCCCTGTACCCAGGGTTGCAGGAAGGGATGTGGGGCCAAAGGTGGTGTTCCAGAGTGCTGGGGAGGTCCAGTGCCAGCAACGGGAGGGACCTCCTGGGGTCAGTGCCTTGTGGGGCAGGGACAGCACCCCCCATTTGGAAGCTGTCCTTGTGTTGGGGCCCCTCAGGGGTGGGAATTGCAGGCAGGTGGGTCACGGGTGGCATGGTGTGATGCCATCCATCCTCTTACAGGGGATGTCTCGTTTGGGTTTCAGCTGAGCCTGGGCAAGCCCGGAGAACCCAAGGCATGGAGGAGTGAACCACATCTGCTGTGGAGGCTGTGGGGACGGGGGTTGTCCCCATGTGGCTTGGTGCCCCGCAGCATCGCTGTGGCCGGGCAGGCTGGCGAGGGTTTGGGGACGGCTGGGGCGGGAGGGAAGGTGTCACGGCACGTGCGTCAGTCACAGCCGTGGCGTGCCAGCGCGGTGACGCCGGCGGCCCTGCATGGGGGTGGCTCGCTGCTCCCACGCCGCGGGCCCGGCCCGGCCCGCCTGGGCTGCACCGCTGAGCTCACCGCCCTGGTATGGCGGGGCAGGAGGAGCCGCCGCGGGGCAGCCCCCGCCCGGGGCAGGTGCCCCCCGGCACTGGGGGTTTCCCCGGAGGGAGAGAGGGGCAGGATGGATGCGTGCTCCCAGTGCCCTGGCGACACCGGGGTCTTGGGGGATGTGGGGGGTCGCGGGGTGGGCATCGTGCTCCAGTGGTGCTGACGTAAGGAGCAGATTTGTCCCTAGGTCTGTGCCATGCCCCAGAGGACAGGTGGGTCCTGGGGGACTGGGTAGGAGCTGCAGGGGCCTCCCTCTGCTTCAGCTCTGGCCCAAGGGGCCTCAGAGAGTGGCTGTGGCCAGGCAGTGTTGGGGTGCGAGCTGGCCTCAACGTGCAGGTTAGGGGTACCCCATCCCGGGGGGTGGCCACCCAGTGCCACCTGCCCCTGCTGGGGGCTGTGCCTGGTGCAGCGCCTGGCACAGGTCTGGGAGACCCCCAGCGCCCTGCGATGGGTTGGGGAGAGAGGACTGACCCTGGGAGCGATCCTCCCCGCATGCCCCCCGGAGCCCATCCCCGCAGCGCCCGCGGGGCCTGGCTGCTCCCCCGGCACTGCCGTGCTTGCGCCAGTGCTGCCGGTCGCTGTGGAGCAGCCATCTTCCCAGCACATCCCATCCCCCTCTGCCGGCGCAGGGAAGTGGGAGGGATGCTGGGGATGCTGCCAGCCTCAGAGCCCCCCCCAGGCCCTCTGCAGGTTCCCAGCGGGGTGCCTTCTCACCCACCCAGCTTGCCGCGGATCCCCGGCTGCTGAACGATGCTCCCCGCTCATCCTCATCCTCCTCCCCCCGCCTGCCTGCACCGCATCCCCGCTGGCGGGCTGCACCGTGGTCGGGTGGGGGGAGAATGTGGCTGCGAGCGCGGCGCTGGGGCTGGCATCGATGCCACCACCTTTTTCCTCGGGTGCTGGAGTGGGGACAGCAGGCAGGCAGTGAGGCTGCCGAAACGGGAGGAAGATCGCGTTGCCAAGCTGGGATCGGGGTGAGGACGGGAGCTTGACGGGCTGTCCCCGCTTCTCCTTTCCCCCATCTCTGCGTCCCTCCATCCACCCCCCCTTCCCCTCCATCACCGTCGCGGTCACCTTCACCCTCTCGCTGTTTTCCGGAACTGCAGCAACTTTCTGCCATGTGATCCCGAGCCCGGCTCCAGCCCTCGCCACCCCCAGCCAGGCGCGGGTGTCTCCGCAGAGCCCCCCGCTCGCCGCCGTGCCGCAGCCGCCGCACCCGCCCCAGCCATGGGCGAGAGATGCGACTACCAGCGCCTGAGCAGCGCCGAGGAGGAGGAGGAGATGCTCGGCTCCCTGCCCCACAGCCTCTCGGACAGCACTGGGCAGCAGGCCCTGCGGCCAGGCAGCAGGCGCCCCGCACGGTCCTCGCGGGAGGACATCGCCCCGGGCATGCCGTGCCGGCGGGTCAGTGTGGGGGGGAGCGGCGGGGGGCACCCGGGCAGGCTGGGTGTCCCCCATGAGGGCAGGGTCCTGCTGTGGGGCACAGGATGGCAGCTGGCATGAGGCACGGGGGTTCCCTGCATGGCATCTTCCCTCTCTGGCAGTCGTGGTACCCGCAGCATTTGGGGTGGTGTGCGCATGGCATCCCCCTTCCTGGCTGTGCTCCCATCCTGACACACGGGAGCATGGCTGCCTGCTGCTTCTTGCTGGGGAAACTGAGGCATGGGGGAATGATGGCACAGCAGGAGGAAAGGGGGGGGGCACAGTTCCCGTCACAGGCTGCCATTCTCATGGAGGGGGCTGTCGGGCTGTGTGTGTGTGGGGGGGGGGGGGTTAGGGAGCACGCATAGGTGAAGCTGCCTTGGGGTGTAGGGCAGGCATTGGGGTGTCATGGTGCGTAGGAGCATTTCGGGGTGCTTTGGCCACCCATGTGCTGCTCAGCATGATGCTGGGCAAGCGCAGAGGCAAAGAGCGTGCCACACAGGGGGCAGGCGGTTCCAGGTGTGCGTCAGGCGGAGGCGGGTGTGCTGCCGCCGGCTGTGAGGCGCCGGGGTGTTGGCGCACGTGCGGCCGGGCAGAGCCATGGCTGGGGGGTGTGCGGGGGTGACGCGTTTAGGGGGGCGGCTGCGGTTGTGCAGGTGCCGGGGGTCGTGCCTGTGTGGTCCCAGGGCGTGCGTGATGGTCGTCACCAGCCATGCATGCGCCTGGGTGCACCCTAGGGGCTGCAGAGGTGGGTGTGCACAGCATGGTGAGTGTGCAGGGCATGGAGGGCCAGGTAGCGGCTTTGCCGCCTGCCATGTCACGGGAGTGAGATGGGCATCTATGAACCCCCCTAGGACAGCGGTTTGCTGACTGGACTCTGCTTGCCTGTCTCAGCGTTAAGGCTGTGGCATCAGCCTCTGTGCCCATGAGTCTGTGGTGGATGGGGAAACTGAGGCACGGAGCCTCCCCAGCACAGTGGGCAAGGCTGGGTGTCCTTCTCCCTCCTCCCCCCACTCCCTTCTGGAGACCAGTACTCCCCCAGTGTGGGCTCTGAAATGAGCAGCCTCGCCTGAGCTTTGGTGGTGCAGGAGGCAAGCACACTGGCCCCAGGGGGTGCCAGTCTCAGTGGGTGCCGATCCCAGTGGGTGCCATCCCCGGCTGATGGAGGTGATGCCCCATTCAGAGCAGGGAACCCCCCGCATCACGGTGTCCCCAGAGCCAGGGAGGGGGCAGCTGGCGCGTGGCAGAGGTTGGTGCCGAGTGCACTGTGCCTGGGTGTCCCTGGTGAATGGGCTTCTTGTGTCGGGTGCCTGTGCCAGCTGGGATCCCGGCAGCGGTGGAAGCTGCAGCGGAGGCTCCTCTGCACCTGGGGATGCGCTTAACCCTCTCCCAGATGCCCCCCCCCCCCCGGCGCAGCCATGGCCACAGTGGCGGGGGGGGCAGACAGGCGGGGGCTGCTGCAAGAGGTTGCTGTGGGTCTGTCCTCTCTCACGCCGTGGCTGCGGATGCGGCCAGATGTTCTCCCCGGGGAGCCCGCGCCGGACAGCAGTGCTGGTGTCGGGTGCCAGCTCTGCCAGGGAAGGGGAGTGAGCCCCAGGGTGCTGGCGGCACCCCACAGCAGAGCCCGCGGGGACGAGCAGCTGGGCAGCGGGTGCGTTTGCCGAGCCAGACGCTCCCCCCGCAGTGCCCATCGCCCTGGCATCCTGCCTGTGGCCTCGGCTGGGGAGCGGAGAGCCGGATGTCTCCTCTCCCTCCCTCCTTCCCTGCTTCCTGAGGGGGGAAACTGAGGCCTGGGAGAGTTTCCCAAGGCCAGGACGAGTTTCCATGGAAATAGGAGCGGGGGTCCAGGCTCCCAGCTGCCGGAGCGGGTGCCCACTGCTGAACAAGGGAGAAAGCGGGACATTGATGGGAGCCCGGCCCCCTGGGCGCGCGTCCCAGCCCCGGCTGAAAATAACCCCTCCCCGGAGCGCTGCTTGGGCAGCCGGCCGGGACCGAGCCCCGCGGCCGGACAGGGGTCCCCAGGAAGCGGCTCCAGCCAGGGGGTGACCCCAGCCCTGACTGCCGCCACCCTCCGCCCCGGCCGTGTTGCGTTGGGGAAGGGGAGGGCCGGCCAGGAGGCTCGAGAGCCGGACGGAAGAAGGGGGAGAGCCACAGCCCGCGTCCGGCTGACGGACGCCCCGAGAACCCCTGCCTGCTCCGGGGGCATATACGGGGCGGCCGAGCCCAAGGGGCATCTCCGCATCCCGGATGGCACGGCTGCCGGTGCCCCTGCTGCGCTGAGCGGGCTCTGCCGGGGGACGCCGGCTCCGGGGAAGGGACATCGGCGGTGCCAGGAGCCGGCGACGGGCAGCCAGGCAGGATGCGACGCTTCCAAGCTTTGCGCCAATCCTTCCCTTTCCTCACCCGCTTCCGCCTCTACCGAGTAAGTGCCGACCCTCGCCCCGGCAGACCCTATGCTGGCTGTCACTCAGCCCTGTCCCCGTCGCCTGTGGGCAGGGGACCAGCCGTCCCCGGCCACCCGCGGGCGCACACCGAAGGGCAGCGGCTGCTTTCGCCCCGTGTGCCCCCGTCTGCCCCCGTGCCCAGCTGCTTGCCGCACCCGCCGTATTTTTAGCCCAGTGCCGAGGGCTGTAATTGTGGTGACGCACCGAGGGAGTCGAGCACAGGGGATGAGGACAGCGGGGACCCGTGGGAAGAGGAGAGGATGGAGCGGGCTGTGCTGCTGTAGGACCGGGATGAGGGTCCCTCTTTGCGCCCAGCTGACAGCAGCGAGGGGCAGAGACGTGCCTCTTCCCAGAAAGGTGGCAGTGAAAGAGGAGGAGAGCTGGGAAAGCAGGCAGGGATAGGGAGCGGAGGGGAACATGTTGCGGGAGATGTGAGGAACCGTGGGTGAGACCTGGCCCCATGCCCCGGCCTGGCTGTGGAGCTGACACCAGCAGCGCTGGATTGCCTTGTGCCTCAGCCCAGGCACCAGGACCACCTGAAGGCTGTGATGTCCCTGTGTGTCCCATCCCTGTGGCTGCCAGGCGAGGTGCCACCACCCATAGCAGAGGAGACCCACTGTGGGTCTGTGCCGCAACCCAGCCGGGTGTGTGGGGATGGCAGGGGGCCGAGTGGCAGTGCTGATGTGGCTGTCCCCTCCCCAGTCAGACCCTCCAGCTGGGCAAAGGGAGTCTGGCAGGCACGGGGTGCCCCTCAGCTGGGGGCCACCACCATGCACACCCATCCAGGAGGCTCTGCCCTGTCCTGTGTCCCTGGCACTGCTGCCTGGGGGCAGCTTGTGCTGAAGTAGAAGGGTGGGTTGGTGTTTCTGTGGGCACCATGGGGCAGTACGAGGGTCCCATCCTGCTGATGGGGTGCCTTTCCCAGCTTGGGGCAGGCTCAGGAGATGAGTGATGCTAGCATCCATCACACCCTGCCCAGGCAGCACCCCAGCCTTGGCTCTCAGCCTCTCTGGATGACGTCCCCAGCGTGAGGACGGGGCAGAGGGGGAGTGGAACAGGGTTCTCCCCCTAACCTCACATGGTTGGTGTCCCTGCAGAGGCTGAGCTGTAGCATGCAGGCAGAGGAGGGCACGGACTGGCTGCTGGAGCTGCTCACTGAGCTGCAGCTGCAGCAGTACTTCCTGCGCATCCGGGACGAGCTCAACGTCACCCGCCTCTCCCACTTCGAGTACGTCAAAAATGAGGATCTGGAGAAGATTGGCATGGGGCGTCCTGGTGCGTACGTCCCCCCCAAACCTCCCCCCATATCTCTGGCTGGCTGTGCAGCACCTTCTGGGGATCCCAGAGGAGCATGCAGTCTATGGGGCTGGAGGTACCCCCACCCTATGCTGGGTTGGTGACAGCCACTATGTCCTGCAGGCCAGCGGCGGCTGTGGGAGGCAGTGAAGCGGCGGAAGGCCATGTGCAAGCGGAAATCCTGGATGAGCAAGGTAGGGATGGGAGAGGGGCAGGTGTGGCAGGGAAGCAGGCATGCAGGAGGAGCTGGACCTCTCCACATGTTCTTCCACAGTGCCTGGCTCTTCCCCACGTCATCAGTGCCTGGCAGGGAGGCTGGCAGGGAAGGGGGCAGAAACCCCTGTGAGGCATGTGCTGCCTGCAGTGTGCTCCCGTCCTGTGCACGCTCCTGGGTTACTTCCTGGTGATGGATGTCCCTGCCGCCCCAGCACTTGGGAAGTTCATTCCTCTTGCATTATTTGCCTCTTTGCCAGGAAACTAATTTGTAGCTAATGAGCCACAGAACCTTTGCATCTCACCCCAGGCAGCTCTATGGGTGCCCGTGCTTGCTGGCATCCTGCCCACCAGGCTGGGGCTGCTCCAGAGCAGGGGACCCCATGATGCTCATGTATGCCCTGATGCCGTCTTGTCCAACACTGGTGATACTGCCACCCTGGCACTTTGCACCCCCAAAAGAGCAGGGTAAATGCCAGCTGGGCCCTGGGTTGTGGCTTCTTCCCTGTGTGACTCATCTGGGATGGGATGGAGACAGGATGGGCTTTTAATAGAAGGCTGCTCAGCCTCGCACTGGGCACAGAAATGCCGCCTCCCACCCCAGCCACATGCTGGGCCCAGCCCCTGCGCACCCCACACGGGTCCTTGCTTCTGAGGATGGGATGGACTCCATCCCATGGGGCACATCACTGGTCCTGGCACATCATCAGTCCCAGCTGGGGGAGATGGAGGGAGTGCCTGTCCCCGTTCCCTCTGGGCTGGCAGTGGCGGCAGCGCGTGTTGCAAGGCCCACGCTGCTGCAGGGATGTGTCACCACACTCAGCCCAAGCTGGAGGTTTCTCTTGGCCTTATGCCCAGGCACACTGTGTAGTCACAGCCTGGCCAAGGAATGCCCAGGGCCCTCCAACTGCCAGCCTGGTTTGCCGAGGCTGCTGCAGTGCTGCTGCTGGGCTGCTGGGAGAGGCTGGGAAAGCTGAGGCTGTTCAGCCAGGAGAAAAGGCTGCGTGGAGACTTCATAGCAGCCTTCCAGTGTCTGAAGCAGTTCTGCAGAGATACCAGAGAGTGACTCTTCCTCAGGGACTGTAGTGGCAGGACAAGGGGCAAGGGGGTTAAACATAAACAGGGAAATTTCAGGTTGGACTTAAGAAGCTCTTTATTGTGAGGTTGGTGAGGTACTGGAACAGGTTGCCCAAAGAAGGCCAGGTTGGACAGAGCCTTGGGTGACATGGCTTAGTGTGTGCTGTCCCTGCCCATAGCAGGAGGGTTGGAACTAAATGATCTTAAGGTCCTTTCCGACTCAAACCATTCTGTGATTCTACAAATCCACACAAGTCTCAGCTCAGCTAGAAGAGCAGAGCCTGCTGCTGCAGCCAGCCTGCCCTGGGTAGTCATGAGTTAGGGGTCATCATTAGGTTCCAGAGGGTACAGGCCAGGCAGGGTGTCATCCTGGCACTCGCAAACACAATGGCTTGGGGCATCTCCGCACCTGCATCTCGCCTACCTCCGTGTCCTGCAGGTGTTCAGCGGGAAGCGCCCTGAGTCAGAGCTGCCGCCCCAGCCCCAGAGCACTTTCCGCAAGCCCCCCACACCACCGCCCCCCGAAGCCGGGGGCCAGCACTCCCTTACCTGCCTCGTACGGGAGCGGGACCTCTCCATCTTTGAGAAGTTGGGCGACGGCTCCTTTGGCGTCGTACGTCGTGGCGAGTGGTGCACGCCCGCCGGCAAGACGGTGAGGGGCTGTTCATGGTGGGGTGGGCCGGGCAGCAGCACCACCGGGGGGGGGAGATGCTTTGGGGCTCATCCCTGCTTTGGCCGTAGCTGGATGTGGCAGTGAAGTGTCTCAAGACGGATGTGCTGAGCCAGCCGGAGGCGCTGGATGACTTTATCCGGGAGGTGAATGCCATGCACTCTCTGGACCACAGGAACCTTATCCGTCTCTATGGCGTGGTGCTCTCCCACCCTATGAAGATGGTGAGTGTGGGAGGATGGGACTGACCCCAGTGGTGCCCTGTGAGAGTTCTGTGTGGTGGGGCGAGCAAAGCTAGGCTGGATCCATATCCCAGTGCTCCACGGGCATCTCCAGTGGGGCACAAGGCTGGAAAGCAGCCCAGCAAGGCTGCCTCTGGCCTGACCAACCTGCTGTTCCTACCCCATGGCCCAGGTGACAGAGCTGGCCCCACTGGGCTCCCTCCTGGACCGCCTGCGGAAGAATCAGGGTCATTTCCTCATCTCCACCCTCTGCCAGTATGCCATCCAGGTGGCCAAGGGCATGGCCTACCTGGAGTCCAAGCGTTTCATCCACCGTGACCTGGCTGCCCGCAACATCCTGCTGGCCTCCAATGAGCTGGTCAAGATTGGGGACTTTGGGCTGATGCGGGCCCTGCCCAAAAATGACGACCACTATGTGATGCAGGAGCATCGCAAGGTCCCCTTCGCTTGGTGAGCCCTGGGGAGGAGGGACCTGGGGATGCAGCACCCATTGCCTTCTGATGCTCACATCCTTCCCCACGCAGGTGTGCTCCTGAGAGCCTGAAGACACGCACCTTCTCCCATGCCAGCGACACCTGGATGTTTGGGGTGACTCTCTGGGAGATGTTCACCTATGGGCAGGAGCCTTGGATTGGCCTCAACGGCAGCCAGGTGAGCGCACAGCAGGGACCTGACCCCCTGCCTCACCGTGGCAGTGGTTTGGGGAGACCTGGGAACCCCTGACAGTACTCACTGCTCTGCAGATCCTGCACAAGATAGACAAAGAGGGTGAGCGGCTGCCACGGCCTGAGGACTGTCCGCAGGACATCTACAATGTCATGCTGCAGTGCTGGGCACACAAGCCTGAGGACCGACCCACCTTCGTGGCCCTGCGGGACTTCTTGGTGGAGGTGGGTGCGCAAGCAGGTGGACAGGGGCTCCAGCACTCCCTTCCCCTCGGCTCTGCTTAAGTGTAGGCAGAGTTCAGGGAATCACTCAGGCAGGAGGTGACGTTGGGGGATTCAGCCCAGGCAACCCTGTTGGCTGGCAGGTAAGGGGCAGTGATGGGGTCACAGCAGGAGGTCCCTGGGTACCACCTGGCCCTTGTCCAGCCCAGGGATGTTACAGCTGAGTAGGGGCTGGGGGTGGTGATGCTGTCTCTTGCCCCACTTTTGAGGCTCCCCTGCCTTCCCCTACGTGGGGCTGCAGCTAGTCTCAAAACAGGTCAGGGATGGGTGGTGGGGGTCTGCATCACCTTGTTTTCACCCTCTTTTCCCCCAGGCCCAGCCCACTGACATGAGAGCACTGCAGGACTTCGAGGAGCCGGACAAGCTGCACATCCAGATGAACGACATCATCACAGTCATCGAGGGCAGGTACTGCTCAGGGTGGGAAGGCACGTACTGCACGGGAGCAGTGCCAGGTATTGCACTAGAGGTGCATGGACCAGCGGCCAGCTGCAGGGCTGCCAGTTTGCATGGGCACAGGGGGAATCGGGAGACTGGGGGCACTGGCAGAGCTGTGGAGCAGGGATGGGGGGAGAGTGGGCTCTGCCCCCCCAGCACACTCGACTGTGTAGCCCACAGGTGAGCTGCCCCACTGCCCTGGGAGGTGTGCAGTGCCCCAGGCAGCACAGCGATGTGGGGCCACTGCAATGTGTGAGGGGCAGCAGTGCCTATGGGCAGCACAGCTCTACCCGCACTGCCCGCAACATCCACCCGCTGACTCACCCACTCTGCCTTTGGGTTTGCCCTAGCCTTGTCCCTGGAAACCGGGTGCCCCAGAGTCACTCTCCACTGATAGCGGTGGGGACCTGCCACTGCCGTGGGGCCAGGAGAGATGCTAGGGAGCTCAGTACCACGGTGGCATGACCTGTCACTCCCTGCGCTGTCAGCTCTGTGCCTTGGTCGCTGCTAGCCACGCCGGGGCACAGCCATCCCCTTCCACTGCCCCGGTGACCTGTGGACTGGGGGGACCTTTGGACCCTGCATTCCCATCCTAGTGTGTGCCTGTGCCACTCCATCATGCGGACAGTGGAGACCCCTGGGAAGAGCTCTGTGTCCCTTTGCTCAGCTGGCACATGGGAGGCTGCTCCCGCCTCCAGCCCCAGGGGGTGAGGAGAAAGGCTCTGTCCTTCCCCGCTTCCCGCTCCCCTTTCCCGGGGCCAGCTCCCCGCCGTTAGTCACGGCCCGGAGGTGAATCAGGCCGGATTTGTGTGTCTTCAGGGACCGGCTTTCTCTCCGGCCGCCGCCGCCAGGGATGACTCTTGCCCAGGGTCTGGCGGTTTAATTGCAGGGAGGGGAGGGGAAGGGAAGGGAAGCGGCGTCGGCGGAGGGAGGGAAGAAGGGAGGTAGGGAAGGAGCGGCGGAGGGCGGCGCGGCCGCGCCAGTGCGCCTACATCGTCCCCGGCGCCGCATCACGGGCTGGGGATCCCGCTCCCGCGCCCCCCGCGCTGCCGTCGGCCCCAGGTGAGCCACGGGTAGCGGAGGAGGGGGGAGAGAGAGATTGGCAGGAGCGGGATGGGGGGGACGTGGTTGCGCTGCAGTGAGTCGGGGAGGACCGTGAGCGCGGTGGAACCGGGGCGCAGCCTCCCCTGCCTCAGTTTCCCTGGCGGACGCCGGTGCTCGGTGGCCCCGTTTTGGGGGTGCTGGGTCCAAGCAGGCGGGATGAGCTCTGCAGCCGGGGGCTGCTGGTGCTCCCGGACCGGAACCCCATCCCCGTGCCTCGGTTTCCCCCCCGGGGTGCCTGCCCCCCACCGCGCTGCCGGCGGGGATGCCTGGGCAGGGAGGGGAGGGCTGGCGGAGGGGGTTGGGGGCTCCTCCCGGGGGCCGCATCCGGCCCCGCCGAGGCCGCCCGGGGCACCGTAAACACCCCCCACCCCTTTTCAAGCCCCTGCCTGTCGTTCGGCGGGCGCTGGCCGTGCGTACGTGTGTGTGGGCAGGGGCAGGGACCTACCTGAAAGCCCCCTGGGGACCCAGGCGGTCGCAGGAGAGGGCTCTCGGGGGGAAGCCAGGGAAGAGCCGCAGCGGGATCGTCCCGGGGTTCCGCGCCCGGATCCGGTGGGACGAGGCTGGGAGAAGAGGGGAGCGAAGGGGCCGGCCCAGCTGCAGCATCCCTCCGGTGGGATGCGGCGGTGTCGCGGCGCGGGAGGGCGAGTGGAGGGGTGCTCCCGGGGAGGGGGAGCCGGCTCCTGCCCGTGCCGGTGCGGGTGAGGGATGGTGCCCGGTAGCGACTGGGCTCTGCCGCGGGCACGCCGAGGGGTCCTGGCGGCTGGCGGGCGGCGAGCGGGGAAGGTAAACAGGAAAAGGGCTGAGCTGGTGGCCGGGGGTGACTCACAGGTGACTCCAGGAAACCGTGGGGCCGTGCCAGCCTCGCCAGGCTGGCACCGCCACCGCCCCCTGCCCGGAGCACGCCCTACCCGCGGAGAGCGGGGGACCCGGCAGGCGGGGGGTGGGTAGGGTCGGAGCCCCCCCCCCATTCATCTGGCACAGTGCCTGGGGTAGCCTTTCCTGCCCCTTACCTGTCCCTCTCCTGTCCCACTTCCCACCCGGGGTAGGTGATCCCCCCCTTCTTCCCCTGGAGCAGGCAGCTCCTAGGGCACGCTGGGGACCTGCACCCCAAGGTGGCATTGTCTGCCTGCCCATCTTCCCTTGCCCGCACCAACCTGCATGAGGCTTACTGATAAGGGAGCGAGGAAGACCTCCCAGTTCATATTTGCAAGTTCATCGTCGAACCCCAGCCATGTTCTTGTGCCATCCTTGGCTGCACAGGGCACAGGAGGACCAGGGGTGAGCAGCTCCGTGCAGGCAGCACCCCAAGACTCCTGCATAATTTGGGGCAGCCGGGAGGAGGAAGGGGCACATCTCTGTGGGCACAAGCAGGGAGCTTTGTTCCCTAACCCCCGCATCCCCAGCACCACTGGGTGCGGGGGCCCACAGGGTGGGAGGCAGAGGGCACTGTCAGCTCAGGGTTGGGACCCTGGGCACCTGGGCTCTCCTCCTGGCTGTGCCACTGCTTGCCTGCTTAGACTTGGACAAGTCACCTCGCCTCCTCCCCCGTCACCGGGGCGGGCGTGTGTCCCCCTCTTATACCCTTGTTGGTAACAAGGTCCTTTTTATTCTTTAGGGCTGAGAATTACTGGTGGCGGGGTCAGAATAAGCGGACCCTAAAAGTGGGCCAGTTCCCCCGAAACACGGTGACCTCGGTGGCAGGGTTGTCGGCGCACGACATCAGCCAGCCGCTTAAAAACAGCTTCATCCACACGGGCCATGGAGACACCAACCCCCAGCACTGCTGGGGGTTTCCCGATAAAATTGATGAGTAAGACAATCTTTTATCTTCTCTGCATCCCCTGCCTGCTCTCTGCTTTCCCTGCTGCCCGCTGGGCATGGAATGGGCCATGGTTTGGCCATCCTGTGTTCGCCTTGCTAGTGAAGCATCTCTTCCGCCCCCCTGCTGTACTGAGGATGGTGGCTCTGGGAAGGGTCCCTGTGGCTGGACTAACTCCCTCTCTTCTTCTTACTAATGGGTTCAAGGGCAGGGAGGGCTGCTGTGCTTTTGGGGGGGCTATCTGGGTTGGGGGGGAGTATCTTCTAGCCCTGTAGCACCTCATGCTGTCCCGGCCTGGAGGGACACCAGTAGGCACCACCCTGGATGTGGCCGTGTTAACCACAATGCTTTTGGGATGTCCCAGGGCTGCTAAACCCGCGCCTTTCTGTGCCTGCATGGAGGGAAGCTGTGATGGGGGTGTAGCCTCACCCCCTGCTTTTAACAGCATGAGTTAAAACAACACACCATGAAAGAAATCCACCAAAATGCTTTTTCCGCCCCCTGTTCCATCAGGACAGACCCAGGTTGTTCTGATGGGGGGGTCGGGTGCCTGTGCCTCCTTGCCATGTGGGACTGGCGTGCTTAGTGTGGTGCTGGGGGATGGTGGGCAAGGGTGCTTGCCTCAGGGCAGAGGGCATGGGGTGTCTCTGCAAGCACGGGACTGGGGGGACGTGGGAGGGCTGTGTGTGTGGGGCAGGATAGGATTTCAAAGCCTGGAAAGCTACAGCTGGGGGTAGAGCCAGCTCCTGTGCCTGGCTAAGCACATCCCCTGGGATTGTGATCACTGCTGCTGCTCAGCTTCCCACCCCCAGGACATCTCTGCCAGTGCCCTCTGCCCCAGCCTGACTCCCCCAGGCCACCCGGTGGGCTGAACCTCGGGGGGCTGGACCGGGGCGCCGTGCACACAGCCCTGCTCGTGCCCCGGCAGGCTCCCGCTGCGTGGGCACGGCGCTGGGTACGTGCTGCCGGGCTGCCGAGAACGCACCGAGCTGGGCACACACCCAGGCCTTGGGGCTGCACTGGCTCCCACCGGCTCCTGCCTCGCCGCGCCCAGCTTGCGACGGCTCGCCCGCACCTCCCGGCACCCCACCAGCGTGCCGTGCTGTGCCGTACCGTACCGGGGTGCCCTGCCCTGTACGCAGCGTCATGCCGGGGCACCCTGGTGCTGCGGTGTGTCCCGGACACCACGCCCCGTACAAGTACACTGGGCACGGCACCCTGCTTGCAATCCCCTGGGTTACAGCGCATCGTATGTGTGGTGCTGGGATGGTACCAGGCTCTGTGCTGTAGCACTGAAAGCCTTGGGGTGTGGTGCCCCAGTGCTCACAGAGACAGTACTCACTGGGGCATGGTGCATGGTGGAGGTGGGGTGTACCAAGGGACAGGGCACAAGCTCAGGGTGCAAGGGGTCCTACGAGGCCCCTGCTGACTTCCAGGCACTCTGCTTTCTCCCCACAGGCTGTACCTGGGAAATCCCATGGACCCTCCTGACATTTTAGGTGTGGACCCGAGTGCTGCCAGACCCACCCAGCTTCCTGGCAGGGCTAAAAGTGAGTCTCTTTTTCTCCTTCACCCTGCTCGTCAGCCGCGCAAAGTCCTTGTGCCCTGCTGCCAGGGTGATGGGCTGTGGACCCTCTCCTTTCTCTCTGCTGCCACTTGCTATTCACAGACACAGGGGGAGCTGGGGTGACAGGGTGTGTTGTCACCTGGCCAAATGCCACCGCCAGCAGCGTGGGTGGCCTGTGGCTCTGCCCGGCTGGACTCTGCCCTGCTGCCCTTCGTCCAGGTCCCTCGTCCACTCCCAGCCTCCCGCGGCCAGGCTCCCCAGTACAGGGGATCTCGGTGGAGCTGCCACGTGGAGGGAGCTCAGATGCTCTGCGGGTGCCACAAATGCCCTAATCCTGCAGTTTCCCCTTGGTGGGGCTTCCCACCGGCATCCTCCCTGCACCCCAGCGGTGATGCGGGACATGATGAAGCATGCACCCCGCTAACGAGCACCCCGACTGCCGCTTGCTTCGTGCGCGCACCCCACGCCTCTCCTCCTCTCGGGCTCTCTCTTCTCCTGCAGGGCAGCCGCCTCCGCGCCCTCCTCAGCCTACCGTCCTGCTCACCAGTAAGTTGGGCTTTCATGGGTGCTTCTCTCCCTCCTTTGTGCCCTCCTTCTTTTCTCTCTTAGCTTCGTTTTCTGTCTCTGCATCCCGGGTTCCATCATGAGCATTGGCATCTGTAGGGGGGACAGAGATGAGGAGCCGGGTGTTGGGGTCTGCAGGGTGAGGAAGGGCAGGGTACCCCTCAGGCCTCCAGCACCCTTCTGCCTGCCCTGGTGCATCACTACACCCAAGGGGGAGAGGAAAGGTGGCTGAAGCTGTCAGGCAGTTTGAGGGTTAGGGACGCAAGTGCCCCTCCTGGCACCCCCGGGATGGGCGCCAGGCACCTCACCATCCCTCTCTACCTCCTAGAGCCCTGCTACGACCCAGTCAGTGAGGAGGAGGAGGGTCTGCCGGGGGGTCTCCGGAAGCTCTGCCTGAAGAAGCCAGGCCCAGGCAAGGGTCTGCGACCGGTCAAGCCGTCAGCACGCGTTCCAGGCACCAAGGTGGGCGAGCGGCAGCCCAGCCGCCAGCTGACCAGTGAGGGGCCGGCAGGCGGCGAGGTGACCCTCATCGATTTTGGGGAGGAGGTGCCCCAAGGGAGCCCCTCGCCAGTGGGGGAGCTGACAGCCCCGTCGCTGGCCAAGCTGGCTATGGAGGCCTTCTCCTTGCTGGACAAGACCCCACCACAGAGCCCCACGCGGGCTCTACCCCGGCCCCTCCACCCTACGCCAGTGGTGGACTGGGACGCCCGCCCCTTGCCCCCACCGCCTGCCTATGATGACGTGGCGCAGGATGAGGACGACTTCGAGGTCTGCTCCATCACCAGCCCTCCAAGCCGGCGGGGCAAGACCAACTATGGCTTTGTGGATGAGGGCGAGCGGGGACCAGCGCTGGAGGACAACCTCTTCCTGCCCCCCAAGGAGATGAAGCAGCCCAGCATGACACAGACCACAGAGCTCTTTGAGGAGCTGCAGCAGGAGTGCATGAAGAGGCTTAATGTCCCCCTGGGACCAGCTGCCCCAACAGATGACAAGCCCCAAATCCCACCCCGTATCCCTATCCCACCCCGGCCCGTACGCCGTAACGAGCCCGGGCGCTGGTCGGGGGAGCTCTCCCCAGCATCAGGGGGTGAGGAGGACCGTCCACCCCAGATCCCACCCCGGGACCCGCTGTCGCAGCCCACCTCCCGGACACCGAGCCCCATGGCCCTGCAGGTGGGGTCCCCCCAGCAACGTGCCGCCCTCTGCTCTTGCCTCTCCACCTCGCCAGGGAAGCCCATGCCCACCACGCAGAGCTTTGCCCTGGACCCCAAGTACGCCACCCCCAAGGTCATCCAGGCACAGGGCAAGGACTGTTCCAAGGGACCCTGCATCCTGCCCATCGTGAAGGATGGGCAGAAAGTCAGCAGCACCCACTACTACCTGTTGCCTGAGCGCCCTGCCTACCTGGACAAGTATGAGAAGTTCTTCAAGGAGGCCAAAAGCCCCGAGGAGGCGCAGGCACCCCGCCTGGTCACCACGGCCACCGTTCGTCCCATGGTGCAGCAGCCGCCAACAGACTGCAAAGCCAACTTCTCCTCCAACAACAGCAACCCTGGGCCCAAGTGCCTGGTGAAAGCCTCCTGCAGCCTCCAGAAGATCATCTATGATGGGCCGGATGGCTGCCGCCCTGCTGACAAGATCCGGCTGGTAAGTGGCATCTATGAGCAATAGAGAACACAGTGGCCATGGGCTCACTGGAGCAAAAGCCGTCCCCACCCTGGTTTCCCCAAGTTCAACCCCAGGGGGTTGGCTGCATGTGGTTTCCAGATGTGCTGTGGGACATAAATGTCACTGCAACTCCAAAATAGGGATCACAGGCCCTTTTACTCCAAATTAGCCCCATCCACGGCCACAGGGAGTGGGGAGGAAGGTGGCTGACACTGGTCCCTTTGGGCTCTCCTGGCTGGTCCGTGGTGGCCAGGAGTCTGCACCCAAGCCCAGGAGAGGCTGAAGGTCCCAGGGATGAGGATGGCCCCAGCTCCAAGCTGACGGTGCTCTGCAGATACAGAGCCAGGATGGAGGGCAGCCCTGGTGTTCTGCTCCAGCCACTGCCTCCCCACTGCTTAGGTCAGGTGGCAGACACTGACCTGAACCTCTCCTTAGGTGCAGGACACAGTGCACGGTGTGACCACGGAGGAGTGCCAGGCGGCCCTGCAGAACCATGGCTGGAGCGTCCAACGGGCCATCCAGTACCTGAAGGTACCACACACCCCTGTCCATCTGCCCTGGCTCCTGTGGGAGTGCTGGCACCCGTGTCACCTCCCTTGCCGTGCCCTGTCCCCTTGCAGGTGGAGCAGCTTTTCTGCCTGGGGCTGAAGTCCCGCGTTGAGTGCCACCGGGTGCTGGAGATGTTCGACTGGAACCTGGCCCAGGCCAGCTCCCACCTCCTTGATCCCTACAGCACCACCCGCCAGAAGTAGGGGCACGGATGGTTTTTCGGGGTGGGGGTTGTCCACGCCATGCTGCTCTTGGCCAGGTGGCATCATCACCCCTCCTGAGCTTATGTCCTCTTCTCTCCTTACAGGCGGTGACAGTGGGGATGGGGCGAGCTGTGTCAGATCTGGAGCAGGCATCTCACCGTGGGGCCACCCCCTGGTGCCCACCCTCACCTACACAACCTGCTGCTGGACTCTGGACTGAGCCGCCACTTGGGGCATGGGGACACCCCGAAAGGGAGCCTGCTCAGCACCCGTGACTTGTCGGAGTGCCTGCGCCTTGGCCTCAGTGATGGGCTCCATCCCCATGCCCCTTGTTGAATTGTTTTTGTAAAGAGAAATGTAATTTTAATATATATATATTATGTATATATAAAAAACTATTCTATGGAGAGGAGGAAGGTGCCTGTGGCCGTCTCCCAGGTTCATCCCTGCCAACGCACAGGGACAGACCATGTCTCCATGGGTGCTGGTTCCTCCCTGTGCAGGCAGCTGTGGCTGTGACCCATGGGTCCTGCCGCAGGGATGGAACTCAGGTGCAGAGTGCCAGGGAGGGGATGCACATGTGCTGTGATGCCCAGCAGGCGCCGGGGATCTCTAGGGAGCTGTGTGATGTGTAAACCACTGGTGATGGCTCCCAGGCTGTTTTGGGGTGCACAGGTCTCCCCATCTGGGGTGTGAAGTTAGTTACATGTTGTCCCAGGTGCAAAGCTGGAAGGCTGGGCAGGTTTCTCCTGCTGTGAGCAGGCAGTATTGCCCCCAGCCATGTCCTGCAGCAGGGCCCCCCCTTTCCCGGTGCCCCAAGGATTTGGATCCCGGTGACGCCTGACTCATGCCCAGGCAGGGAGTGCCGGGACCTGCCTCGCTCCCCGGCCCACGCGAGGGGCGTTGTGCAACCAGATGCCACCACGCAGCCGGAGCCGGGTGTTGGAGGAGGGGGGGGATGGTGCCTGTGGGGTCCCAGGCCCCCCAGTCACTGTCAGAGCCCTTCAGCTGGCTTCCCTGAGGTGGCAGCAGAGGAAGGGGTCTCTGAGGGTGTAGGAGAAACCGATGTGGAGCGTGGTTGGACCTCAGTGCCCAAAACCAGAGTCCCTGGGCTTTGGTGGTGCCTGGTCCACAGGATGCCTTCTGCTCCAGAGCTGGTGGCTTCAGAGGAGTGACCCCACCATGCGTGGTGAATCGTCTGGCAGGAAGGGCTGCCTCAGAATGCTCGTGTGTCCTTCCCTGTGGCAGTGGTGTCTGCCTACATCACCCATGTGCACCCTGGCCCTACCTAAGCATGGGAATGGAGAGGTTTGCTGGTGCTGCCGTGGGAGCAGTCATGCATAGGGGCTTTGGACACTCTGGGCCTCAGTTTCCCCATCTAAGGTGCAGCTACCATAGCGTGGCAGCCAGGGGAAGATGGCTGTCAATGAAGCGAGGAAGGCACAACAGCTTCACCAACTTCTCCTTTAAACGATGCCCAAGCTGGGCTAGACCTGTGTTTGCTGAAGTGGCCCCACTGGTTCCCTTTGCACTGTGAGGTTGCCTCTGTCCCCGGTGGAAGGTGACCTGCAACCCAGGACAAGGCCCAGCCCTCCCGGCCAGGCTTACCTGGCTGTCTGCCGCGATGGCACTGATAACCCCTGCACGCAGGTCCCCGGGCAGCGGTGCTGGCAGCGCCAGGAGGGGACCAGGGCAGGGCTCACACGCAAGACCCCGAGGGTGCAGCAGGAGGCTGCTCCTTCCTTCTTCCTCCTTGGCTGCAAACCAGCCCCTGCTGGGGGTTATCAGCCGCGGCCAAGCGTGGCAGGGGGGGGTTGATGAGAGGATGAAGAGCCTAGGGCTGACCCCCACCCCGCAGAGGTGCTAGGGACCCCTGTCCCCACTTGCCATCCCAGGGTCCTTGGCCCAGGTGACTTTGCAACCCATGGGGTGCTTTCCGGGTTCTGGAGACCCCAACCTTGGGGTGTCAACCACGGGATCAAGGAGCTTGAAACTTCCCATGGCACAATGGGTGTTCCCCAGCATCAGTGGGTCCCCAGGACATGGACATAGCCATGGCTGTGGCAGGCTGTGAGGACAGGAGCCATCAGTGCCCCAGGCAGGGTAAGTCAGTGCCCCAGGTGGGGCATGTGGCGTTCTGTTTCTCCCACCTGAGGGAGTGCTCACCGGTGGAGCCACCCCCTTGCGTTGCTCCGCTGGGGCAGAGAGAGCTGCAGTCCTGTCCCTGCCGTTGGGAAATCGTGATGGGTTGCTGGGGCCAGTGGCCACTCTGGAGCTGCGTGCTGTGGGGTTTCTGGGTGCTGCCAGGTAAGTGCCGGGGTGCCCACACTGCTGCGGGACAGACGAGGTGGCCAATACCATCTGGGTGATGGGTGATGGGCTGCGAGCAACTCTTCGGCTGCTCGAATGCTGTGAGCCCGTGCCCGGCTGGGGTTCACCCCACCTCTGCCAGCTGCTGACAGTCTCAGCATGGTTCCCTGACCGTTAGCACGGTGACAGAGGGTCGGTTGTGGGTCAAATGGGGTTTCTCACTTGTGGGGAAGGTACCTGTCTTGCTCTTGGTGTTGGTCCGGCTGTGAGTGCTGCGATGGGGACCAGCCCCAGGGGGTGGGAGCACCTTCCTCCTGCAGCAGGGAGGAGGGATGGGGATGATGGGGACCCCAGGCTTTTTTTTTCCCCTCATCCTGCCGTTACCAACCTGCTCCGCCTCCAGCGCAAGCCGGGGGGACGGGGCAGCAGCCCCTTGCCCCGGTAGAGCCGGGCAGCAGCTCCCTCTCGGCCGACAGCACCAGTGCCGAGCTGCCTCCGGACCCGGGCATGTGCCAGGCGTTCCCCAGCTCCGCAGCTGCCCGGCCGGAGCGCCCCTCTCCCGCGGGCAGGAGCACCACCGCCGTGCGCGCAGGTAAGGCCGGCGGGCAGCTGGCTGCGGGCGGGCTCCTGCCTGATGGGGCCGCGGTGGGGTTGATCCAGCTGGGGCTGCCTTGTCTCGCCCCACAGGCAGCCTGGTGCCGGAGGTGGTGGCGGGAGCCCTGCTCCCAGGCAGGACCAGTGGTGAGCAGCAGGGGTCTCCCACTGAGGCAGCTCTCCCCAGGGATCCGTCAGCACAAGGCAGCCCCCAGGCAGGGGCTGGAGGCTCCTCTCCAGCTGATGCCAGGCACCCCATCAGCGTCCCTCCAGCTCCCACCACCGCTTGGCATGCGCAGCTTCCGTCCCTCGTGCAGACAGGGCATGCAGTGGGTCTTGCCACAGCTGGTGGCGTTGCTGGGCCAGCTACAGCCACATCGTCCCCAGCTCCACATATCCCCACTGTAATGGGGATGAGCAAACCATTATCAGAGAGCAGTGCTGCTCCCACACAAACTGTGGAAGGGCCCAGAGTGCCTCTGGACAGCATCCCTGGAGAATCACTCCTGGGAACAACTGTTCCCCTGCAGAAAGGCACTGTGGCCAAGCCACCCGCGGATGCTGCTGGTGCACTGAAAGGTTCTTCCCCAGCTCCAGGTGGAGGTCTGTCACCACCGGTGGCACATGTCCCAGCTGCTCAACCAGTGCCAGGGACTAAAGCATCTTCTCCAGTAACTGGCAAATCGGCTGATGCCCATGAGTTGGTGCAGCTGGGCAATGGTATCGCTGCAGAGGGGATGCCGGGGACAGCATGGACTGAAATGCCACCACTCCACCAGGATAAGCACAGCATGTGGATGTTAGTCCACAGCACCAGTGAGAGCTCTGCTGAGCCACATGCAACCTCTGTTCTCCCGTCCCAGGAGGACGTGCTAGGGCTGGACAAGGCCACCTCACCTCTGGCCACAGCAACCAGCATCTTTCAGGACACAGGCAACATCATGAAGTTGGCAGCAGCCCCAGCCAGCCCTGCTACTGGCCTCCATGGTGCCCCAACCCATGCAGCCACAGAGGGAGCTAGAATGGCAGCCCCACCATCTGCAGACAACCCAAGTACATCCTCAGCAAAGGTCACCTTTTCTTCTGCCACAACTGGCACCAGTGAGGCTACACAGCCAGGGACACGTTTCTTATCCAGTGCTGGCCACAGTGCCCTGCAGGACTCCCCTTTGCCCTCCACTCAGCCACCTCCAGGCCTTTTGAGTCTGCTCCCTCATGGTGCTGTACCAGGAACAGGAGAGATGCTCTCTTCCAGCCACAGTGGGGCCCTTGGCACTGCTGGAGCCAATGCTGTCACTCACCCTCAGGCCACCCCAGCAGCTCCAGGCACACCAGCTATGGTGATGGACATCACCACTGCAGAGCAAGTCCCCACTCCATTGTTTGCAGCTCTGGGAAGCACTGGCACTGAGCTGGCATCCATCAGGAGCAAACCCAGAGCCACAAGAGGTACTTCTCCCCTGGAGACCAAGGCCACCCTGGTGGGGCTCAGCATGACGCTGTCCCCTCATGCATCTTCCGATAGCCCTGGTGATGCCTCTCCAGGGCCCTTTCTGCACTTCACAGGGTCTCTGTTGCCACATGTGCTCTCAGCAGGCCCTGGGGCCACCACAGCAGAGGTGGCTGCAAGTGGATCCCTTCCATCTGGACGGAGCATGGCCATGACCTTGTCCCTCAGGGGCGCTGGTGGAGCAGAAGGGCCAGCTTCCATCCATGTGATCATCAGTGCCGAATCATCACCAGAGACACCTGCCAAAGGGACTGAGGCTCCTGAAACCAGCCCCGCCACGGATCTGCGTGTCCTGCCTCCCAGGGGTGCTCACTCTGCTCCACCAGCCACGGCTAACCCAAGCCCAGCACCGGCCACAGCCAGTCCCCTCCGCAGTGCCACCACCAGCAAGACACCCCAGCCACCCCCCAGAAATGCAGCCATGGAGGGAGGCAGGGACAAGTCCCAGGTGAAAGAAGATGGCAGCACCACGCAGGCAGCTCCAGGCTCAACCCCGGCTGAAAATGCAAGGGTGGGTGCTGTGGCAGGCACCCCTCTCAGTGGCAGCACCACCCTAGAGACTGCCCTGCCGGAATCACCCTCTGCCACAGCCCATGTTGCTGCCTGGGACCGCAACTATCACACTGCTGGGCCCACCATGGACATGGATATGGGCATGGACTTAGATATGGATGCAGCTTCTCCCACCACAAGGAACAGGGCTATGGGGCTGCCTCTGGGGTTGCCCACTCCCATGGCTGGGGTGGCTGAGCCAGGCACTGGTGATGCCACCTTGGCACACTCTGGCGCAGGCAGCAAAAGCCCTACAGCAGTGGCCATCATGGGCACAGTGTCTCTTGAAGCTCCAGAGCTGGTTCCTGGTCTCACTCACAGTCCTGCTGAGCCAGAGGTCAGTGTGTCGTCTCCTGTCCCCAGGAGCACCCATCCGGTGGTGGTAGCACCCTCCACCACCCCCAGCATCACCATCACTCATCCAGCATCGGGAGCAGGTGATGCTAGGCTGGTCAGGATCACGACAACACTCCCTTCAGCTGTCCCCAGTGGTACCTCCACTGTCACCCCAAAGCCATTCCATGAAGCCACCAATAATAGACAAGACCCAGGCTTGAAAGCTCACAGCCCAGTCACTGAGGATGAGCCCATATCTGGGGGCTCCTCACTGGCTGTTGGCCACACACACATGTGGGAGACTACAGCTGCATCCTGGTCAGGTGCTGGGTTTACCACTGCTCAGGCAGACACGGCCCCTTTGGGGAGCAGTGCCAAGGGTGCAGCACCCCCAGCCAGCATTGACAGCACCTATGTGCCTGTTTCCAATAGTGGTGGCACAAGCCCAGACAAGACACCAGCTGCCAGCATTTTCCCTAGCAACAGCATCCTACACAGCACCTCAGCTGGATGGGAGAACTCTGTGATGACTGGGGCCACTGCAACCATGATATCTGCCACAGCAAAGGGAACCACCACCAGCAGTTCAGTGTCCCTCGCTCTAATGCACATAAAGGGAGGTGGAGGTAGGCAACCTGTCCTACACCCAGTAGAACACAGCCCTGTGGAGGAGATAGCTACAAGGACCTGGGATGTGCTCAGTACCAGCCCTACCATCACAGTGCCTGGTTCACCCCTTTTGAGCCCGTACGGACCAGCAGGGGAGCCAGCAACAGTACCCTCATCTCTGCTTGGATTTCATGCAGTTGGGGAGGCAAGAGCCAGAGAGAGTCTTTCAGAGCCGGAAAGAGGCACCAATTTGCCCAGAACTGTCAGCAACCATACCATGAGACAGGCAGAGAGCACATCAGCTCCTGCCTTCTGGACATCACCTTCGACATCTGCCTGGGGGAAGAAAACAACCATGACTGCAGACAGACAGAGAAGCATCACTGCAAAGAGCAAAACAGACATCACTGAGGGGAGCATGACTGCCATCACTGCAGAAACAAACACAGCCATGACTACACACAGGACCACAGTCATCACTGTAGACAGACCCAGAGCCACCACTGCAAACACAACCACAGCCATCACTGCAGACAGGCCTACAGCCACCCCTGCAGGAACAACCACAGCCATTGCTGCAGACAGAACCACAGCCATGACTACAGACAGAACCACAGTGAAAACTGCAGACACAATCACAACGATGATTTCAGGCACAAACACAGCCACGACTGTAGACAGACAGAAAGGAATCACTGCAGACATTGCCACAGCCATCACTGCAGACACAATCACATCTGCTAATGAAGACACAACCACAGCCACCACTTCAGACTCAACCACAGCCACTAATGCGTACAAACCAGCCATCACTGCAGATACAACCACAGCCACCACTGCAGACACAACCTCAGCCATCACTGCAGATACAACCACAGCCACCACTGCAGACACAACCTCAGCCATCACTGCAGATACAACCACAGCCATCACTGCAAACACAACCTCAGCCATCACTGCAGACACAAACTCAGCCATCACTGCAAACACAACTATAGCCACCACTGCAGACACAACCACAGCCATTACTGCAGACACAACCACAGCCATCACTGCAGACACAACCACAGCCATCACTGCAGACACAGACACAGCCAACACTGCAGACACAACCTCAGCCACCACTGCAGACACAACCTCAGCCATCACTGCAGACACAACCACAGCCACCACTGCAGACGCAACCACAGCCACCACAGCAGATACAACCTCAGCCAGCACTGCAGACACAACCACAGCCATCACGGCAAACACAACTACAGCCATCACTGCAGACACAAACACAGCCATCACTGCAGACACAACTACAGCCATCACTGCAGATACAACTACAGCCATCACTGCAGATACAACCACAGCCACCACTGCAGATACAACCTCAGCCAGCACTGCAGACACAACCACAGCCAGCACTGCAGATACAACCACAGCCAGCACTGCAAACACAACTACAGCCACCACTGCAGACACAACCACAGCCATCACTGAAAACACGTCAGCCACCACCGCAGATGCAACAACAGCCATCACTGCAGACACAACCTCAGCCATCACTGCAGATACAACCACAGCCATCACTGAAGACACAACCTCAGCCATCACTGCAGGCACAACCACAGCCATCACTGCAAACACAGCCACAGCCACCACTGCAAACACAACCACAGCCACCACTGCAGACACAACCTCAGCCATCACTGCAGATACAACCTCAGCCAGCACTGCAGATACAACCACAGCCACCACTGCAGACATAACCACAGCCATCACTGCAAACACAGCCACAGCCACCACTGCAAACACAACCACAGCCACCACTGCAGACACAACCTCAGCCATCACTGCAGATACAACCTCAGCCAGCACTGCAGATACAACCACAGCCACCACTGCAGACATAACCACAGCCACCACTGCAGACATAACCACAGCCACCACTGCAGATACAACCTCAGCCATCACTGCAGATACAACCTCAGCCATCACTGCAGATACAACCTCAGCCATCACTGCAGATACAACCACAGCCACCACTGCAGACATAACCACAGCAACCACTGCAGATACAACCACAGCCATCACTGCAGACACAACCACAGCCACCACTGCAGACACAACCACAGCCACCACTGCAGACACAACCACAGCCATCACTGCAGACACAACCACAGCCACCACTGCAGACACAACCTCAGCCATCACTGCAGACACAACCTCAGCCAGCACTGCAGACACAACCACAGCCACCACTGCAGACACAACCACAGCCATCACTGCAGACACAACCACAGCCATCACTGCAGACACGACCTCAGCCATCACTGCAAACACAACTACAGCCATCACTGCAGATACAACCTCAGCCAGCACTGCAGACACAACCTCAGCCATCACTGCAGATACAACCACAGCCATCACTGCAGATACAACCACAGCCACCACTGCAGACACAACCTCAGCCATCACTGCAGACACAACCACAGCCATCACTGCAGATACAACCACAGCCACCACTGCAGACACAACCTCAGCCATCACTGCAGACACAGACACAGCCACCACTGCAGATACAACCTCAGCCAGCACTGCAGACACAACCTCAGCCATCACTGCAGACACAACCACAGCCATCACTGCAGACACAACCACAGCCACCACTGCAGATACAACCACAGCCACCACTGCAGACACAACCACAGCCATCACTGCAGACACAACCACAGCCATCACTGCAGATACAACCACAGCCACCACTGCAGACACAACCACAGCCATCACTGCAGACACAACCACAGCCACCACTGCAGACACAACCACAGCCATCACTGCAGACACAACCACAGCCACCACTGCAGACACAACCTCAGCCATCACTGCAGACACAACCTCAGCCATCACTGCAGACACAACATCAGCCATCACTGCAGACACAACCACAGCCATCACTGCAGACACAACCTCAGCCATCACTGCAGATACAACCACAGCCATCACTGCAGACACAACCACAGCCATCACTGCAGACACAACCACAGCCACCACTGCAGACACAACCACAGCCACCACTGCAGACACAACCACAGCCATCACTGCAGACACAACCTCAGCCATCACTGCAAACACAACCACAGCCATCACTGCAAACACGTCAGCCACCACTGCAGATGCAACCACAGCCATCACTGCAGACACAACCTCAGCCATCACTGCAGATACAACCACAGCCATCACTGCAGATACAAGCACAGCCATCACTGCAAATACAACCACAGCCACCACTGCAGACACAACCACAGCCACCACTGCAGACACAACCACAGCCATCACTGCAGACACGACCTCAGCCATCACTGCAAACACAACCTCAGCCATCACTGCAAACACGTCAGCCACCACTGCAGATGCAACCACAGCCATCACTGCAGACACAACCTCAGCCATCACTGCAGATACAACCACAGCCAGCACTGCAGACACAACCTCAGCCATCACTGCAGGCACAACCACAGCCATCACTGCAGACACAACCACAGCCACCACTGCAGACACAACCACAGCCACCACTGCAGACACAACCACAGCCACCACTGCAGACACAACCACAGCCACCACTGCAGACACAACCACAGCCACCACTGCAGACACAACCACAGCCACCACTGCAGACACAACCACAGCCACCACTGCAGACACAACCACAGCCACCACTGCAGACACAACCACAGCCACCACTGCAGACACAACCACAGCCACCACTGCAGACACAACCACAGCCACCACTGCAGACACAACCACAGCCACCACTGCAGACACAACCACAGCCACCACTGCAGACACAACCACAGCCACCACACACACCACAGCCATCACTGCAGACACAACCTCAGCCACCACTGCAGACACAACCACAGCCACCACTGCAGACACAACCACAGCCATCACTGCAGACACAACCACAGCCATCACTGCAGACACAACCACAGCCATCACTGCAGACACAACCACAGCCATCACTGCAGACACGACCTCAGCCATCACTGCAAACACAACTACAGCCATCACTGCAAACACGTCAGCCACCACTGCAGATGCAACCACAGCCATCACTGCAGACACAACCTCAGCCATCACTGCAGATACAACCTCAGCCAGCACTGCAGATACAAGCACAGCCACCACTGCAGATGCAACCACAGCCACCACTGCAGACACAACCACAGCCACCACTGCAGACACAACCACAGCCAGCACTGCAGATACAAACACAGCCACCACTGCAGACACAACCACAGCCATCACTGCAAACACGTCAGCCACCACTGCAGATGCAACCACAGCCACCACTGCAGACACAACCTCAGCCATCACTGCAGATACAACCACAGCCAGCACTGCAGATACAACCACAGCCAGCACTGCAGACACAACCTCAGCCATCACTGGAGGCACAACCACAGCCATCACTGCAGATACAATCACAGCCACCACTGCAGACACAACCACAGCCACCACTGCAGATACAACCACAGCCACCACTGCAGATACAACCACAGCCACCACTGCAGATACAACCTCAGCCAGCACTGCAGACACAACCACAGCCAGCACTGCAGATACAACCACAGCCACCACTGCAGACACAGCCACAGCCACCACTGCAGATACAACCACAGCCACCACTGCAGATACAACCACAGCCACCACTGCAGACACAACCACAGCCACCACTGCAGACACAACCACAGCCACCACTGCAGACACAACCTCAGCCACCACTGCAGATACAACCACAGCCATCACTGCAGATACAACCACAGCCACCACTGCAGATACAACCACAGCCACCACTGCAGACACAACCACAGCCACCACTGCAGATACAACCACAGCCACCACTGCAGACACAACCACAGCCACCACTGCAGACACAACCACAGCCACCACTGCAGACACAACCACAGCCACCACTGCAGACACAACCTCAGCCACCACTGCAGATACAACCACAGCCATCACTGCAGATACAACCACAGCCAGCACTGCAGATACAACCACAGCCACCACTGCAGACACAACCACAGCCACCACTGCAGATACAACCACAGCCACCACTGCAGATACAACCACAGCCACCACTGCAGACACAACCACAGCCACCACTGCAGACACAACCTCAGCCACCACTGCAGACACAACCTCAGCCACCACTGCAGATACAACCACAGCCATCACTGCAGATACAACCACAGCCAGCACTGCAGATACAACCACAGCCACCACTGCAGACACAACCACAGCCATCACTGCAGACACAACCACAGCCACCACTGCAGACACAACCACAGCCACCACTGCAGACACAACCACAGCCATCACTGCAGACACAACCACAGCCACCACTGCAGATACAACCACAGCCACCACTGCAGACACAACCACAGCCATCACTGCAGACAGAACCACAGCCATCACTGCAGACACAGACAAAGCCACCACTGCAGACACAACCTCAGCCATCACTGCAGGCACAACCTCAGCCATCACTGCAGACACAACCGCAGCCACGACTGCAAACACAACCACAACCACCACTGAAGACACAACCGCAGCCACCACTGCAGACACAACCGCAGCCACCACTGCAGACACAACCACAGCCACCACTGCAGACACAACCTCAGCCATCACTGCAGACACAACCACAGCCACCACTGAAGACACAACCACAGCCACTACTGCAGACACAACCACAGCCATCACTGCAGACAGACCCACAGCCACCACTGCAAACACAACCTCAGCCACCACTGCAGGAACAACCGCAGCCATCACCGCAGGCACAACCTCAGCCATCACTGCAGATACAACCACAGCCATCACTGCAAACACAACCTCAGCAACCACTGCAGACACAACCACAGCCATCACTGCAGACACAACCTCAGCCACCACTGCAGACACAACCACAGCCACCACTGCAGACACAACCACAGCCATCACTGCAGACACAACCACAGCCACCACTGCAGACACAACCACAGCCATCACTGCAGACACAACCACAGCCACCACTGCAGACACAACCTCAGCCATCACTGCAGACACAACCACAGCCACCACTGCAGACACAACCACAGCCACCACTGCAGACACAACCACAGCCACCACTGCAGACACAACCACAGCCACCACTGCAGACACAACCACAGCCATCACTGCAGACACAACCACAGCCATCACTGCAGACACAACCACAGCCACCACTGCAGACACAACCACAGCCATCACTGCAGACACAACCACAGCCACCACTGCAGACACAACCACAGCCACCACTGCAGACACAGCCACAGCCAGCACTGCAGACACAACCACAGCCACCACTGCAGACACAACCACAGCCATCACTGCAGACACAACCACAACCACCACTGCAGACACAACCACAGCCACCACTGCAGACACAACCACAGCCACCACTGCAGACACAACCACAGCCATCACTGCAGACACAACCACAACCATCACTGCAGACAGAACCTCAGCCACCACTGAAGACACAACCACAGCCATCACTGCAGATACAACCACAGCCACCACTGCAGACACGACCTCAGCCATCACTGCAGATACAACCACAGCCATCACTGCAGATACAACCACAGCCACCACTGCAGATACAACCAAAGCCATCACTGCAGACACAATCACAACGAGGATTTCAGGCGCAACCACAGCCACCACTGCAGACAGATTTAAAACCATCCCTGCAGGGAGCACTGCAGCTGTTGCATCCAAATTCTCATTGAGTCCAGGCAAGGAGGCAGGTGATGTCCTGGCTGAGGGCACTACCATATCTTTGAAACTAGCTGTTACCAGCAGACCTACCACTGCCCCATCTCCTGCCTTTGGGGCACAGAGGGGACTGGCCACAACATCAAGCACATCTTCCGACTCCACTGTTCATGGAAATCCTGCCCCTGAGCTCGCACCCACCAGTGGGATTGCAAGTAAGTAGATTCTCTTCATCCTAAAGCATAGAGCAGGAAGGGGTTAATCAGCTGTTGAAGGATTGTGATGTCTGAGGGCACCTGTGGCCAAGCCTGGGGCAGTTCATCCACAATGCATGTTAATCTGCCAGATTCAGGGTGAAAGACTTCTGGGAGCCTTTTCCAGGTTAAAAACCGGTTTGAAAGTTGGGTTACACTATCCAAGCAGTGGTCTGTCCAGGGGTAGCACTGGTGCAGCACGCAGGCAGCAAGCAGGTGAGTGTGCGCTGGCCATAGGAAAGATGGAGCAGACATTAATGGTTTTTCTCCTTTCCGTCTCAGTGCCGGCAGCCTTGCTCTACCCCTTCGGCACAAAGGAAGGGGACCAGGAGTGTGTCCAGAGGACAGTGGATTTTAACTCCCCCCTGTTCAAGCCAGAGATCGGGTTCCCCTTTGGGAATTCACTGCAGGATGCTCTCTACGTGAGTTTCCACCTTGCTGAGCATGTCAGGGATGTGCAGGCTCTTTGGTAGAAAAACATCCCACAGAAATGGAGCAGAAACTGAATTTCATTGAAGATATTTTTTTTTGCAGTTAAAAATGCCTGTTTTCAGCTCACCCATGAGGGCTAAAGGCCTCCCCAGGAGTTGCCTGGGATGTCAGCAATGAACAAGTTATTCTGGTTAGTTTACAGATAATGGACAGATCATTTTCCCACCCACGGACAACTACGTCCCCTCCAATCCCAACCCACCTCCCCAGGGCTTCAGTGGGCAGGAGGGTTTGCCAATGGTGGCCGCCTTCTGGGACGACGCAGATTTCTCCGGGGGTGTCGGCACTACCTGGTACCAGGTCAGGGCAACCAAAGGTGTTCTCCTGGGAGACCCCAGCTCCCAGCTTGCCCATTTTTACTCTCTCTCTTGCCAATCAGGAGTACTCCACACTCAGCTCTACCCGAGACCCCCTTGTTCATGATGTGGAAGCAAAGATCAAGAAATACCTGAAAATCCCCTACGTAGCAAAATGGACCTTGAAGGTGACATGGGAGAAGGCTCCAGCGTACCCGTCCCAGAGGAATGACACCCGGGTGAGCAGCGTGGGACTCAGGTGATGGGGGGACTGTCACCAGCGATGGCCAGGGCAGAGCTGGGCTGCTGGTCTCCTGTACCTTGATGCAGGTGTTTCAGGTCTCACCACCACAGTCTGCACTGCAGGAAGAGCAGGGGAGGCTTTGGTGGTGCTAAGGGCGGGCGTGCCTTGTGTTCTCCAGACGAACACCTACCAGGCAATCCTCACCACTGATGGGAACCGTTCCTTCACCCTGCTGCTGTACCAGGATGGCGGGATGCAGTGGGACTACACCAAGCTGGCTGCAGACAACGTGCTGATTGGCTTCTCCAGGTGCTGTGCACATGTGTGGCTGTGTTTTGGGGGAGCAGGGATTTCTCCCAGTATTATGTTGGGACCATCTGAGACCTTAACCCCAGGGAAGCCAAGCTCCCACCCCTAAAGCAACCCTGTCCCATTTAAACCCTTCTCCCATAGCAATTCCTATCCCAGCTGCTCTGCAGGGAGAGGAGGAGGGTTGTGTTAGGAGGGTGACCCCCAAACTTTGTGTCTCCACACAGTGGCAATGGCTATGCCCAAAACAATGAGCTGACTCAAAAGCCGGCGGCTGTCAAGTACCGACCTGACCAGCACAGCAGCACCAGCACCGGTATGATGAGGGGGGAGTCCATGAGGCAGGTCAGGATGGAGGGATCCGTGTGCTCTGTGCTGGGAGCATGTTCCCAGGACTTGCCCCTCTGAGGTGATGGCCAGCAAAGCCACTGAGCCAGGGGTGGCCACTGAGAGCAGAACATGGGTGTCCTGTGTCCTGCTGTGGCTTGCTACAGCCAAGCCAGCTCTAGAGGGAGCCTGGAGAGTTTGTGTGAGGTCAATGTCCAGGGACGGCTGTCCTGCGGGATCCCCCTCAGAGCAAGGTGAGATCCCAGTGGGGCGGTGCTGTTCTCTGGTTGCTCCCAGATGTGCGTGGTCTGTGGATCTACAGGCTGGACAGCCGCTCCCGGGTGAACTACAGGCTGCGGTGCCTGGCGTGGCTGGACGCAGAGCCATCACCAGCCGCCTGGAACGCTCAGCTCCCACCCTGCCCCTGTTCCTGGCCCCAGGCAGAGCTGGACCCTCGCTTCCGCCTCAGTGCAGGTGCCAAGCGCAGCACCCCCAGGGCCAGCCACAGGTATGTGGTGCCCTCTGCTCTGGGGTGGCCGTCATCCTCCCGCACCATTTCAGGCCCAGCAGACCCCTCCGTGAGGATGCTGCGCACTGCATCCCCAAGCCTGGCGGGAGCCGGGGTGCGGTGTCTGTACCGAGATAGGAGCTTGCTTGAAGGCTGGCAGGAAAGAGCATGGAGCCTCCCCATTCACCCTGCCGCTGGTAAGTGGGCATCAGCTCTGCCTTTACACTTTACACACCAAACACTGAGCGCTCTGCAAGCGCAACGGGGACCCCAACACCCCTGGCACCCAGCTGCCTTACCCCTCAGATGGGGAGCTGGAGGCATTTGACTGGTGCTGTCAGCGCGTTGGGAAGCCCCTGTTCTGTGCAAGGTTTGCTGAGAAGAGACCAAGGGTTGGCTGCGAGGGATATATGCCACCCACCCCTGGTGAGTCCCCAGGGCTCTAACTCCTCTGTGCCAGGGTACTGGGTGGGTGACATGTCCGTACACAGATCCCCTCTGCAGAGCATCCAGAGGCTGATCTCCTCCATGAAGTGGCACTATCATTTCCTGCCTGACACCAGGCTTATTTTCCTTCCCCCAAAATGGCTCCATGTCTTTTGGACAACAGCTGGTGCCTTTGGGGACCCCCACATCACCACTATGGATGGACTCACCTACACCTTCAATGGCCTTGGGGACTTTGCCCTGCTGCTAGCTAGTGATGCCCAGACCAGCTTTGTGCTGCACGGCCGCACAGTCCGGACTGGCATGGCTCAGGCCACCAATTTCGTGGCCTTTGCTGCCCAGTACACCTCCACCACCACAACAACAGTGAGTAGAGGAAATCTGGGTATCAGTTTGAGCTTCTAAAGGGAATGAAGAGCACATCCAGCCCTGGTGAATGGCCCTGGCACTGAGCCTCTCTGCCAGGGCTGGAGGAGGACACAGCTTAGCTCAAGTGTCCCCAGCATGGGGGGATGGCAGGAAGGATGAGCAGAGGGGCTGACCAGGACATCTGCTGTGATTTGCAGGTTGAGTGGACCTTGGGGAGCTGGGGTGATGTCCAAGTCCTCCTGAACCATGAAACCATCCAGTTTTCCTACGCCCAAGGTGAGCAGGTTGTGCAGTTAAAAGTTAAAGGTATCTGCAGGACTGATGAGTGTCTCCATCCCCACTCAGCTGGGGTGGATGGAGAGCATTCCCCTCCACAAGTTCTGGGGCATCATTTCAGACCCCAGCCTTGCACGGATCTCCCTCTGTGCTCTCCTTCCCTTGCAGATATGGGTGCTGAGGTGTACTACAGCCCTGGTGTCCTGCTGGTCAATGGCTCTTCTATCACGGCTGTTTTCAATGGGGCCATTGCCATCACCGTCTCAGCCACCTCCAGGATCCTCAACATGGTCTGCAGCCTTCCCGATCAATACCGCAACAGCACCAAGGGCCTCCTGGGTAAGGACTTCTGGCACTGCTGCAGAGCCAGGGTGTAAAGTCCCCTTCCGACCCTAAAGCAGACTGGAAAAACCTGGGGGGGGGGGGAAGGGGGGGGACACCAACATATTTTCAAGGCAGGGACCCCTGAGTCTAAACTAAACATGGGCCGGCACCAGAGAGGAGTGTCAGCCCTGGGGAGACTTCAGTCCTCGGGTGATGCTTCACCAGGTGTGTGGGACCATGACCCTGCAGACGACTTCCAGATGCCAAATGGTACCAGCATCCCTGTGAACAGCAGTGAGGAGGAGATCTACAGCTATGGTTTGACCTGTATGTTCAGGCTCGGGATCTACCTTGGTGATTCCCCTGTTCCTGTGCCTTCTGGCTACGCTTTGGCTGGAGGCATTTTGACACTTGCCTGAGCAGAAGTGATGCGAGGGAAGCCCTTTGGTCTCCTCACTGCTCTGTGGATGATACTTAAAGTACAAGAAACCTTAAAAACCCAAGGCCATACCCATGGTGTACTCTCTTGCAGGGGCTGTTGGAGAGCACAGCCTGTTTACTCAGCCTCTGGGTTTACCAGCAATGAACTTCACACCCATCTTCTTGTCTCGGCTGCGGCAGGAGGATGAAAGCCAGTACCAGCTGGCAGCCTCACAGTGCCGTGGCAGCAAGGAGTGCATCTATGATTCACTGAGCACAGGGGACATGGCTCTGGGTCTGGCCACCCAGAACTTCACAGCCGACTTCCAGCAGAAGAAGACAGTACTCAGTAAGTGGACATCTAAGAAGCCATAGCTTTGGCAACTGGGCAGTGCCCTGCTCGCACACTGTCTTCTCTTGCTCCATGTGAGTCAGGAGAGAAGTCAACAAGGTCTCAGAGTTGCATTGCCTGGCTGGCTGGTCTCAAAGCCTGGGAGATGCCACCACGCTGTGCAACACAAGGGCCTCGTCGGTGGGCAGTCATGGTAGCATCTGCCTGGGTTCCTGTCCTCACCATGAGGGACTCAGAGCCAACATGTGCCAAAGATGTAGCTACCAACCAATTGTGTGCTGAGCTGCTCTTTCCTCAGATGCCTTCCCTCCCATCATCACTGGTGATGCGTCACTCACAGCCTTTAGGACAGAAAGGGTCAGGAGGCAGTACCGTGCTGTGGGGCTGGGTGCACACTTTGTCCCCCACCTCTCACCAGAGCTCAACATATCGGGTAAGGAAGGAGCGATGAGGCAGCAGGGATGGGATGGGGCGATACTGGTCACCAGCCCACTGCCACCTCCTCTAACTCCCACCTCTCCCCTGGCAGAGAGTGGCACCTTGACGTGGGAGCCCCGTGGGACAGCCCCACTCACCATCGACCTGGAGGCTATTGGGTCCAACAACCTCTCTGCCCTCCTCCAGCTCCACTTCACACTTTGCAGCTGCAGCAGGATCCAGGAGTGCGATTACAGCAACACCGTTACCGTTGGGGGGTCCTCCCTGCAGGTAGAGTGCTAGAAACCCAGTGCCTCATCGTGCCTGTCCCCACAGCTCTGTTCTCTGTCCATCCATCCTGCTCATGTCCCATAAGTGAGTGTCACTGTCTCCTTCCAGTTGGCAGCCTGCAGGTGTGAGGGTGGCTACTCGGGTCCCTTGTGCCAGGACCCTCCGGACCCCTGTGCCCAGGGATGCTTCCCTGGGGTGCGCTGCGACTCCCTTGCTGGCTGCGGCCCCTGCCCAGCTGGCCTGACTGGTGACGGGCGGCACTGCTCAGGTGACAAGGGCTTGCCATGGCCACAGGGCACCCATGGGATCCCCACCAAGGTGCTCATCCCGGTGCCATGCTGCATTGCCTCGGCAGATATCGACGAGTGCGCTCAGGGGACGGCATGCCTGGGGAACACCACGTGCACCAACACGGTGGGCAGCTACACCTGCTCCTGCCCAGCTGGCGAGGAGGGTGAGTACGGGCACTGTTCTCATCCCCACTATCCCCTGGGCCTCAGAAGAGGGCTCCCAAACTGGAGAGAGAAGGGGGAGCTGGCTGAGCTCTGTACACAAGCCCTTGCTCTCCTTAACAGAAGGGACTGGAATCCAGCACTGCTCATGCTCCTGGGCATGACCCTGCCTCAGGTCCTGCCTCAGTATTCCTCTGGGGAGGGAAAATTTTCTCATGCAATTTTTCTCTTTGGGAAAAAAAAAAATAATCTCATCCCATCAAAGTTCAAATGCACATGCAGAGGTTGGGGGGGCTAGAATCAAATCTTTTTTTCGGGTGGCCGGGGGGAAGGGGGTTGGGTGAGTGATGGTTTTTGCTCCTATTCTAACGCAGCGAGCTGAGATTTCCCGAGGGTGAAAGGCTTCAGCGGGGAGGAGGAGGTGCAGCGCTGTTCCTTGAGGACCTGAATTTATACTAAAAGTCCTAATGTGTTAAAAAAAAAACCCAAAAACATGAAACTTGTAAGAAAGGTGCTACAGAGCAGCAGGGGATGGCTCAGTGGGCTGGGGCTCTCTGCCTGCAGCCAGGCTCCTGCCTCAGCCTGACCTGGGCTCCCCATCCTGCAGGGGAGGGGCCAGGCTGTGGCTCAGCCTGCGGCTCCCGCTCCTGCCCCACGGGATACTGCAATAACGGGGGACGCTGCCACTTGCACCCCATCACCTGCACCCCCAGCTGCGCCTGCCCCCCGGCCTTCACCGACCAGCGCTGCCTGGTGGCAGGGGGGGATTTTCGGCCGTTGCCCAGCGCAGGTGGGTGCCTGTGCCCGGTGGGTGTGAGCCCCAGCCCCGCTCACGCCGGTGCAGGGATGCAGAGCCGCTGCTGTGCTTCCCCCTGGCAGGCCTGCCCCGGAGGAGCATCCGGCTGCGGGCCAGGACGCTGCGAAACGCCACTGCCGAGGAAGTCAATGGCACTGTATGTCACCAGAGGGGATGGGCTCAGGGAGGGGGATGCACCAGCATGGCAGCTTGGGGTGCCCATGCCTTCATGCGCTCCCCTCCTGGGAGATTCACAGGGATCCAATGGATCCACAGGGCTGGAGGGAGGCAGTGCCAGCCATATGATGCTGGCTACAGCCATGTGCCAGGTCCCCAGTGTGTGAATGGAAGGCCAGAGCAGCCCCTGGGGCTTGGCCACAGTGCCCACACTGCCCTTCAGCTCCTCCCTACTGCCCTTCCATTTCCTCCACCACAGGTCTCAGCCATCCTGGCCTCCCTGGAGGTAAAGGCTTTCCAGTGCAACACCAACATCACCCAAATGTGAGTCAGCTGTGGAGCAGCCCCGTGACCACCCCAGAGAGTCAGCAGAGCAAGACTGGGCATGGGGCCATGGGGTTTGGGACACAAAGGGCAGTTCCACCCACCAGCCCTGATGCTGATAAACCCTTGGAGACACAAGCCCCATGGCACCTTCCATCTCCTGCCTCATTCCTTCTTTACCACACACCCAACGGGGAAACTGAGGCACGGTGAGGCTTGGTCACTCTGTGATGCAGCAACAGCTCTGCCAGCAGCACCATCTTTTCCCCGCAGGAGAGGCAGTGATGGATTCACCTTCGCAGTGGTGTCTGAGTTCGCCTATGACAGCCGCGGCACCATCATCAAATTCCTGAATGAGGAGCTGCCGGGGGCCATCACCGGCGCCTTCAACAGGCACTGGGGACAGCGGGAAGCAGGCACTCGCCTCCTCTTCCACCGCCTGCACCGGGACAACATCACTGACCTGGTGAAGCGTGAGTTGCAGGGGAGCCCAGGAGGAGCACCCCGCTGTCCCCATTGTCCTCATCACCCTGTGTGCCCTGGGGTTCCTGTAACAACCACAGGGGGGGTGGGTGGGCAGCAGTCCTCAGGCATGGATCCAGCTCAGGGAGGTGATGAATCCATTCCTTCACTCCTCAGTGACAGTGGCTGAGCTGCGACACTATTTCCCCTGCAATCTGTATGGTTACAAAGGATACCAGCTTCACTATGTGGGGACTGTCGGCTTCGTCTGCATCTCCCCTTGCAAGAAGGGCTACTGCCAGCATGGTGGCCAGTGCCAGCACCTGCCCGAGGGTCCCACCTGCAGGTAGCAGCAGCTCTGGGATGTGCAAAGCCATCTGGCACTGCTGCTTCTCCCCACATCTCTCCATCACCTCTCATCTTTCCCTATCCACAGCTGCCTGCCCTTCTCCATGTTCTCTCCAGTCGGTGCCCGGTGCGAGCAGCTGGCCATCAGCTTCACTGCCTTCCTCAGCATCTTGCTGGTAGTCGTGGCTCTGCTCTGCCTCTCACTCGGCATCGTCTGCCTGGCCTCACACCTCTGCCACCGGCAGCGCCGCCAGCACCAGGGGTAAGCCATAGGCTGGACCACGGTGGGCGGTGCTGTGGGTGCAGCGGGGAAAGGAGTTTGGGTGTCAGCAGCAAAAGCTGGTGGAAAATCCATCTCTGGAAGACCCACCACCAGTGGAACCCCTCTGGCCTGGGCAGAGGGAGCCTGCCATGGGGAAGAGGCTGGGCTGGGTGATCTTTCAGCATCTTCCTAGTCATCTGCTGCCCAGAGGTATGATAACATCAGTGGGTTGAACATTAGCTTACCTTTTTGACCTGTGTCAAGGGAATATTTGCATTTCTTCTTCATCCCACCTAGTGCTCAGTTACAGACAGACTTTCTATTTAATTTTAATGCCATACAAATAATTTCCACTGCCATTCATGTTGGTCTAGAAAAGGTTGGTCAGGAGGCAAGGCCAGGCAAGGGCTCTCCCAGCCTCCCCTGACATGTCATCCCCTTTCTTTTCTCCCCTCCCAGGGCCAGGGACACCTTCTGGATGCCACGGCCCTTCTCCTGTGAGTACATCCCTGCAACCCCTCCTCACACCAGCTCTGCTTCACCCCAGTCTTCCTTGACCTCTGATCATCTTCCCCACTCCAGCTCTGACGATGGCAGGAGAGCAAGCAGAGCCCACCCACTCTCACTCCATGGAAAGCCTTTGGGAACTGCAGCTCCAGCCCGTTGACCCCCTAGTCCAGGTATGCCCAGAGGTTATTGTCCCCATTATGGGTCGGAATGGGGGACTGCTGGATGGGGACAGATGTCCTAACCTTATGCCTCCAAGATGCTCAGGAGCCATGCCTTGTGCCAGAGCATCACGGTTGCTTTGGCTGGCATTGTTGTCAGTGCTGTTGAGCTCATCACAAAGAGAAGCACCAACAGAAAGTGTGGCTTGTCCCTTCTTTACAGATGAGGATCCAGAGACCCCACATCAGCCCTCCAAGCCAGCCCCCCCAGCAGCCTTAGCTTGCCACTGGTCCTGCCCCAGCACCCCTGGGCTCACAGAGGAGCCAGCTGCTGCTTCCAGCCCCACCACCCGCTCTCAAGGTCTCCAGCAACAGCGCCTGCATGGAGGCAGGGGATGGCAGCTGTCCTTTGGAGCCTGGTGCTTGTGGGAGGACTCACTCTGGAGGAAGTGGTTTCATTGAATCAGAAATGTGCTGTTACAGTGGATGGCCAAAGCAAGAGGATTTTACCTTCCACTGAGGACCTTGCAGAGGCAACTGGGATAATCCTTGAGTGTGTCTGCACTGGGGTATGCTTTAGTGCAACATAACCAGACCTAGCAGAGCCACTGATATGGTCAGGTGGAACAATGCAGTGATTATAACCCATTAGGAACAAAATAGAATAAATCAACAATGATGGCATGCTGCTAAGTTGCCTGTACCCCATGGTGCCCATGCACCAGCCCTCCTTCCTTGTCACGAACCTCTCAAGTTCCTGCTTTCTGCTGGTTCCATTTGCAGGACCAAAGACAAGATGGATGTACCTTCTTCAATTGCTCCATCCCCTCATTCTCCCTGCAGAGCTGTAAGTTTCCCCTCACTGCTCTTGCCAGGCACTACTCACAGTGGCTCAGATCATGCAGGTTGGGCTATGGTCGCCCCAAATGGCCCTGCTGAGGGAAGGTGCCTAAGGTGGGTGTATCAGACCTTAGTAGATGCTGGTTCCAGCCCCACATCCCTAGAGCCTGGACACTCACATCCCCAGCACCAACTCCAAAGGCAGAAGCATCCTGCAGTCCTGCTGCTCCAAGCCTGCCCCCACCACTGCCTCCCATCCTGGCTCAGCAGAGGACACAGCTGCTGCAGGATAGTGATGCTCAGACCCCTAGGAGGCTTTATTGAACAAACAAGATTGATAAGGGTTTATTTTTTTTCCTATTTTAAGAAAGGCAGATGCTCTTCTATGCACAAGATAATTATTTTTCTCCTAATTCCTGATCATGAGATTGCATTTTGCCCTCACACACCAGCAAAGGTATGGGGAACAAGACAGAACCAGCTCATGGGGTGAGCCTGGCACACCATGGCACGCAGGGGCTTGGACACAGTCAACCCATACAAGATGCAAAAACTCCTTCCCCAGATGCCAGGGGTCCAACCTCCCCCGGCTGCATGGGAGGAGCGGTGGGATGCAGTGGGAGAAAGAGATGGTGTATGGGGTGAGGGGTACCTGTCCATCTCCTGCCAGCAAGGAGATGCCCATGAGCACCCACTGAGCTGCAGCTGGGGAAGGGCAACTAAAGCTACTGGTTCCTGGGACAAGTCTGGGTTAGAAACATGAACTTCTGCCAGTGGAGCAGGCACTGGCCAAGTGAGCTGCCTTGTGTGGTGGGCAGGGTGATGGGTGCTGGGGACAGAGCAGGGACACAGTGGATGAGCAGGATCAAAGGACTCAGAGGATGAGCTGTGACCCAGACCATGCTGTTGATGTGCAGTCCCACAGTTATTCATCCTCTCCACCTGCAAAGAAAAAGAAATGAGAACTGCTCATCCACCTCCTCCCTGAGGGCCTAAGGTAAGCTGTGAGCCCTGGAGGAGTTTCCACATGGGGGGCCAGGGACAAAGGAAAGTGGCTGGCAGAGAAGAGATCCCCAATCCCGCTCACCTCTCTGCTCCTCCGAGTAGCTCTCTGACTCCTCTGAGGAACCTGCTGGGGTTGCAGTAAAGCCTCACATCAACTTACACTGATAGCCACATTAGCTGCAACCCTCCTCCCCTCCCTGTGCTGTCACCCTCAGACTACGCTGGTGGTTGTGTGCTAAGGGAGATGCTTCCCACAACACCGTACAGCCCAGAGCACAGCACAGCCTGCATGTGGACATCCCCAAACCCATCCCTCATCTGTGTGGGGCTCTTGCTGCCTTAACAATCAGATGGCTGGGACTTTCCCCTCTGCAGCCCTGGGCACCAAGACAGCATCACCCCAGCACACACAGGCTGCAAACCCACCCATGCCAGGTAACTGGTATCCATCACAGCCAATCTTTGGTCTCTTCTCACTGTAGCGGTCGCAGAGGTGGGCGCTGCCAGCCTGATTACAGCACCAGTCATACAACTTCAGCTCCTGGTCTGGAGGCAAAAAGAAGAGTAAGGGGCTGAAGGAGAGAAGAGAGGGAGATGGGCTGGCTCTGGGCAGGCAGGGCGCTTGCCTCAGCTTTTGGGAGGTCCACACTCCCTCCAAGGGCAACAGCATGTCAGGAAAGAGGCTGGCATGGAGATTAAAGTGATTTAGAGGCTACAGCGATGCCAGCCTCAGCCGGGGGATGCCAGGGATGGCTGTGCTTACCACGGTAGGGAGACGCCTGCCTGAAGGACCTCCAGTACCTCTCCTGCCGCCCCTCAATGAGCTGGTTCTGACTGTCGTACAGGCAGCGGATGCCAGCACCGTGCTGGTTGGGAGAGGCAGAATGCAGCATGGAGACACGGGCAGCCCACCAGCCTGCGATGGGGTAGCAGTGAGCCTTAGACCACAGCTCTCCCCAGCCAGGTCCCTTACCTCAGGACAAGGAGCAGGGCTGGGGCTTGCTCCTTGTTATCCATCACCCCCACTGCACCACATGTGGTGCTATGGGGGTTTGGAGGGACTGACAGAGACCATCCAAGTGGTCCCCCAGGGTGAGACGTGGGTGCTGCGGAGGGTCCATCCCCACTGTCCCCATACAGTTTAGACCAGCTACATCCGGTTTAATAAGATAGGGGCAGGTAAGCCCTTGTTCCTCCTCTACTTCCCTGTCTCTGCAGGGAAGAGCAGCCCCTCTCCTCCCATTTTCTGTGGGATCACCTGCCCACCCTGCCAGCAGGACCCCAGCCACGCTCGCAGGTGGGTGGGAAGGGACAGTCTGGACACGAGGACGGAGGGAAGTGGTGTGCTCACTTACCTCCACGGCTGCTCTTGAAGCGGGGGTCCTGCTGCCCTTGCTGCAGGGAGCAGGGGCAGGCGGGCAGGCCCTGGCTCCATGCCCGCGGCTCCTGCTGCCGCCCCGTCCACGCCAGGCACTTCAGCCGGTAGTTGATACCCACTCGGCTCTCCAGCTTGTAAATCCACAGCCCGCGGAGGTCTGAACAGGGACAGAAACCACGAGCTGTCACCTCCGGCCAAGGGACCACAGGGGCAGCTTTGGCCTGAGGCAAGAGCTGAGTGGTGCTGATGCTAGAAGCTAAGCCCACATTGTCCCTAGCCTTGGGACTCCATGCTTAACAGCCACCCAACTGCAGGAAAACGGGGAGAGGTTATTGCCAAAGAAGAAAGCCTTGGATCAGAGCCATTACAACAAAAGGGTCCATGGACACATCAAGAGTAATTCAGCCTCAGGGTACCCAGTGGTACCTTTTCTCTCTAGGGCCCTACTAGCTGGTACCCACTGGAAGCATTTTATGAACTTGGGTCACAACAGCCCCAGGCAATGCTTGGGGAAGAGTGGCTGGAAAGGTGCTCAGTGGAAATGGGCCTGGCTGATTGATGGAGATGAACATGAGCCAGCTTGTGCCCAGGCAGCCAAGAAGGCCAATGGCATCCTGGCCTGTATCAGAAACACTGTGGCCAGCAGGGCCAGGGCAGTGATCATCCCCTGTACTGGGCATTGGTGAGGCTGCACCTCAAATCCTGTGTTCAGTTCTGGGCCCCTCACTACAAGAAGGACATTGAAGTGCTGGAGGTGGGTCCAAAGAAGAGCAACAAAGCTGGTGAAGGGTCTGGAGAACAAGTCTGATGAGGAGCAGCTGAGGGAACTGGGGGTGTTCAGCCTGGAGAAAAGGGAGGCTCAGGGGGAACCTTATTGCTCTCTACAACTACGTGACGGGAGGTTGTAGTGAGGTGGGGGTCAGTCTCTTCTCCCATGTAACAAGCAATAGGACAAGAGTTTCCTCCTCAAGCTGTGCCAGGGGAGGTTTAGATTGGATATGAGGAAACATTTCTTCACAGAGAGGGCAGTCAGGTATTGAAACAGTGGTGGAATCGTTGTCCCTGGAAGCGTTCAGAAGCCCTGTAGATGAGGCTATCAATGACATGGTTTAGTGGTGGTCTTGGCAGTCCCAGGATAGTGATTGGACTTGGTGATCTTAAAGGACTTTTCCAGCCTGGTTGCTTCTACGGTTCTATGTGCCTGGGGGGAAAGCCTGGTCTCGGTGAACTCAGTGAGAGCCTTGCCACAGTGTTAGGTTGGATTTCATTCCCTGGGGACATCTCCCTCCCCACATAGCTCTTTCCCAGCTCCCTGAGGGGCTGCGTGAACCCCCCTGGCTGTGCAGCACTACCTGTGTTGGAGCCCCTGAACTGGTCAGGGCGATATTTGGCGGCTGGAGGTCTCTGAGCCAGGTCATCGTTGTGGTAAGAACCATCCCCACTGCATGCAGAGGAAAGAGGAAGAATCAGGAGTTGCTCTTCCTGTGGAAGGTTATTACAGCCCCAGCCTGACCTTCAGCTGCTCTGATCCTGAGCCACTGGGACCCACAGCACCCAAATCGCAGCTCTGAGGACACAAGGGCAAAGGTACTAGCTACCCCAACCCGCTGCCTCCTCTCTATGGGATGCAGTTGATTTTGGGTGCTGCAAATGCACCTACTGTATCATGGCTGAACCCCCAGACATCTCAAGACCCCTGTGAGCAGCTGCCGTGGTTTCCAGCACCTTGCAGGGTGATATGGAGCAGAAACCACCAGTGGTCATGCACAGGCAAACGTGCACACACACACGCCTGTTCTGCCCACGCTTCCCGTCCCAGCCACCTTTTCCTTACCCAGCTGCAGCAATAAGGAAACCCTGGAGACAGCGTGCATGGGGTGAGACGTAATGCAAGGAGGCAGGAAGCGACTGCTCCAGCCAAGCAGCGGAAATCCCTTCCCTCGACTGGTGCAAAGTTCAGCAAACATCCCCTGTTCCCCACTCCTTCTACCCAAACCACCAGGATGCTGTGGGCCTGGGCCCCCAGAGGGATGTCTGGTTTTTATCACAAGCACAGCCCAGCAAGTCAGTGTGCTGCAGCACAATACAGCCACTAGTGTGGCAAATTTGGTTGTGAGACCCCTGCATGTTAGGCTATGTGGGCATGGAGACCCCATCTGAGCTGTCCCTCATCCTTCATGGGATGCCGGGAAAAGGATTAAACCAGACAGAGCCAGTGGTGGGACACAGCCTGGTGCTCAGAGGACACAGGGGTAGGGTGCTGATCCTGCTGTACCTGGTGTAACCGATGAGTACATTGGTGGCAGCAAGCCTGGTGTAATCCCATTGCATGCCTCCGTCTTGGTACAGCATCAGGATGTAGGACCTGAAGCCATCAGTGGTCAGAACAGCTTGATAGGTGATTGTCTGAGGAGAAGTGTTGCAGACAGGTAAGAAAGCGAGCAAAGCTGTTGGATTTTAAATCATGGCT